CGCTTTTTTATAGCCTTATTAAATCCCCCTAAAACGATACGACCCGTTCCCTCAAACCTTCGATTTCACCTTCCTTTACCCAGTAAAGTGCGTAACTGCTTAATAACGAAGACACATAGTTCTACAAATTAGACACACGTGAATCATACATTCGAACCAAGTAACTATACAGACAGTTACGAACCCGCAACTTCTTATTCCGATGAATCACTAATTAACTTAACGAAGAGGCCCTTTCGCAAGTGTTCTCGTACACAGGCACCGATTGAAATCAATTTTTTTTTTTTCCGTGAAAAACGCGACTACGCGCGATTCTATAGACAATAAACTGGCGCTGGCAAACGTAGAAAGTCAGAACAGCCGCCAACTGATCCGTTACACGGCTTTTACTCCCGTCGTCTACGTTCGTTTCAATAAAATTCGATATTTTCTCGTGGTGATTTTCAACGTCGACAGACTACCCATAGAACACGTCGATAATTCGTTTCGTTTCACCAACAGTTCCTACTTTTTTTTTTCTTCTTCCCTCTTTCTTCAAACGTTACACGGTGCTTGCAGAGAAGCGGTTTCTTTTCATCGGCCAACTTTCTTCTTTAATACACGCGCTCTACATGCGGGGCTTTCTTTATCGTTTCCCATTTTTACAGGCCGCGTTCACGACCGTCGGATTCTCGTGTCGACGAGTTTATAGATCAATGTGTACACAATTGGTGAAGTTTCTGTGACACGGTCCGTCATCAAAATTTCCTTTCCGATCGGAGTTTACCTTATGATGTAACTTATTCAGCAACAGAACGCGTTACAAGAGCTGTTAGACAATATATCGAAGATTAGATAATGTAGGTGAATATATCAAAGAGAATATGCCAAAGTATTCCTTTATATATGATTGGTAAGAATTTTTTTTTAATACCATGCATGATCGCCTGTTATCGTAAAACGACCGACAGGTCACGTGTACACGAATACGCTTCAACACAGCTTATACAGTTGGCCTAAGTGGTCTGTTAACATTTTCTTTGAAATTGGAACGTGTATCAGGAGATTTTTGCAAATTTTCTCTCCATTCGTAAATAGAAGATAGATAGGCAATTGTTTTATTCGCTAAATATTAGAACGAGTACTATATTTTGGGTTTATTTATATATTTTTGCTTATTACTTGCATTCTGTGCATTTCTCCGCCTCCAAATTTTCCATAAATGCATCAAAATCTGTAGTCTACTGATTACAGACAGCTGATAACAATGAATATTCTATGTTAAACAGTTAGAGTGGTCAAGATCACAAAAAAGCCTCGAAATTAGAACGTCTTTAATTTAATTTTCCTAATATCTAGGAAGCAATTTTTGAAGCACAGTTCACAACGTCCCAGTCAGCTTGTTATTAGCGAAAACAATCCAGCATGAAATTTCTCGCGGAATTATTCATACAGACGAAGCTGTTTAAGACAACGAAATTGCGTCGGCATGAAACTTCAACCGACCATATGAATAATCATCAAATTAGATTACCTCTCCTTCTAAAATAATCAGAAATAGAACAATATTAAAAAATAACATTTCACGCGTGGTATCTCGTCGCTTCGAAGCAAAAGTACGTTATGAAATTGCACCAACCGAGATTATCTTTCAGTTAACGTTAAGAAATAAAAAGAAATTCACACTTTCGCTAAAATCTCTTACACATTTATAACGCGATATAACGAGACATTTAAGGTTAATACGTTCCAATTATTCAATTTCCTAGGTTAAGGTCGTTAAAGAATAAACAAGTGTGATACTTTCACCGAGATCTGGTTCCACACTTTAATCCGAGATTTAACGTCGCCAAATGACGATCATTCGAGTCGTCGTGTCGTAATCACTGTTTCCTCTACTGTGCAAAAATTGAAAAAAAAAATCCCTCTTTTTCTCTGCTGCAGAATGTCCAAAAATCAGCAACCAAATGGACTGTCAACGGGCGGCGCAACGGTGACTGGCGCGGATGATTTTTCGGACGGTGAGAGTACTCCATTCACTCAGGATTATGGCGGCAGGTATGTGGCAAATGTATCCTTGCGAGGCAACCATGGTATTCGCAAACGTTGTTCGTTGTTTCATTTTTTACGAAGAAAGAGAGAGAGAGAGGAGGAGAGAAAGAGAGAAAAAGAGAGGCAAACGAGGTTTGCTTTCGTTCTTTGTGCGAGTCGAACCGCTTCGCATTCCGAGATAAATCGTAAATACTGCCTCGCTTCGGTGCTATTTTCGAAATATTCTTAACGGAATTTAGCAGCCAAACAGACGATAGAATTTAATTGTTACCGCGACGAGCTTCTTAGTATTTTACACAAAGCGAAAGTTCGCGAGACGTGTTTTTCCACAGGTGTCTGCCGAGTTGTTCTATCTTAGATCGTTAAGGAAGTAATATAAATTCTTTATTCTTTTATATAAATCCTTGTTTGTTGAAATACCTTGCGCTTCTAGATACGGCGATGTTTATTTCAGATGTTTTTCTTCTCTCTGCTTTTCGGGGTAGAACAATTTTTACGTGCAACGAAAACGCAGAAATAAAAGGTGTAATATTATTCGAAGTTTACATGTTTTTCCTCTACCGTAGGATTTTGTTTCCTCGTTCTTAACGAAAATTGCTGTTTCAAATTTCCGTGTCCTGAGAATAGTTGTTTAGATACTTTCGTTTATTCTTTCTCAAATGTAACAACATTCGTTTGATACGTATTCTCCATTGCCATAAATTCTCTAGAAAGAAATTACTCTGTCAATTTTTGTCACGTGTTACAGTGCAACTATTACAGATGTAATAGTCATCGTTCAAGCTAAAAGCAAAAAGGAGCCTTAAATATCCTCTCTAATTGATCGTGATCATTTAAATACCGAATATTCTTAACTAATTAAAATCTTTTTAATTAATCAATATTACATTCGAGTAACGTTCGTTCGTCACCTTTCTCTTACAGCGCAAAAGTGTAAAAAAAGAAAAAGGAAAAACTGACAAGATTGATAAAATTGGCAGCGAATGAAACGTTAGCAACACCAGTTTCCATCGTGAAATCGAATTTTGTTATCTGCTTTTTCCCCCTGTTCCAGTCAAAGAACCGTGGTGGAAACGAAAGGATGGGACGTGTTCCGGAATCCACCGCCGAAGATCGATTCCGGCTCGATGGCCAATCAAAGATGCCTCGAGGTGACGGTACAAATAACGAAGGTGATCGTGTACCTATTAGTTTTTGTGATAGTGCTAGGAAGCGGTGTGGTTGCCAAAGGGACGATTCTATTCATGACGTCGCAGCTAAAATCCGATCGAAGGATCATTTACTGCAACAGGCAGATAGGTGAGTGATCGTTAAACCCTTTTGCATGTCAACGCTCTAACGAGATATTTAAATATCTAGTTAAACTTACGAGCTCCTAACACCTCTCACGACTTTACGCACTTTAACGTTGTTTATAACTTCTTTTACTTTCTTCTATTTCTATTTTGCCTTATTGCATATAATATTAATATTAATATTGAAAATTTACTTTATTTCTACTTTATAGTATGAAAGTTTGATAATTTTATAATTAACAAATCAAAGTTTCATGTACTTCATGATCATGCTGATTTATTGCGTTAGTTCCATGTTAATTGATTTAAAAGATATTTGCAATTTAGTATTCTTCTATAGTTAAATCAATTACCATTTTTACTTATTCTGTTCTGTCGAATCATTTGTTTGCTGTTTTCTTTGCAACAGACAGCAACTAAACGAGGATAAAAATGGAGGATTGGTGAAATCTTCGAATCGAACAAAACGACACATTTCTTATTCGTTTTTATTTATTCGTTTATCTCTGCTCTAAATAGAAGCAACGTCATAATACGATGAATTATACGTAATTATTCTCATTCGCATTTGCATTCAAATGAACGCACATGTTTTGTCTAAACTAATGTACACATTGTGCCGGTAGAATGCGTATCGTATAATTTACGCGCAAGTTTCTCTGTCGGGTTTGAAGTTTGATTCGAAACGTAAACCATACGACCGAAATAATGAGCCAGATTCGTGATGTGACGACAATGCGTTACCTTCGGTTCCCATTATGCGGGTTCTCTTCTTTATATTTGATAAACTAATCAACGCTTGCGAAGTTCTGGTTCTGCAGAATTGTACGTTATCTGCTTCATGCGCCTGCAAGAAGTGTGCATTTACAGAAAATTAATTTTTCGCTTGTTCGTGAAGTAATTTTAATTTCAATCTATCTCGAAATGTGAAATTCAAAAAATAAAAGACAGTCCGTGGGAAAATATTTGGTGGCGTAAATTGTGATATTTGTTCCAGCAAACAGAGATGCAAAGTATCGAGAAATCTTCATATCGAGACACTCGATTACGATGAAAATTAGTATTATCACTTTTGTAGAATAAGGTTTATTTTTCGTTTAATTTCGTTTTATTCGTTACAGTTTATTTTCGTACGAAAAATAATATTGCCGTAGATTTTTAGATTAGGCAGAAAATGTGTAATCCACAATCAACGTCGTCGATATACCAAAATTTAGAATAGTGACGTTTAAAGTAAATACTTCAAATTACATTGTAATTTCCAAAATATGGTATTTAGCAACGATATACCAAAATTTAGAATAGTGACGTTTAAAGTAAATACTTCAAATTACATTGTAATTTCCGGTTTCTGAGGGTGGTCCCGTAACAACACGGCCTCGAATATGCTAAACACAGCGCATAATGAAGATTTCTATAATAAAGGATAACGGTTATTAGTGCATCGCGAGAAAGCATACGAGGTATAATCAATCCCGAGGGAACTAAACACAAATTTAATTGCAAAACTAAACGAACAATTTTGATTAGACTGGCACGCGATACGAACACGTCGTTACTTCCTCGTTTCGCGGTGAAAGAAAAACATTTCGAAGCTTCTCCAAAGTGAGGCGCTAGCACGAACTTGGGGCGATTGGTAGCTAAACAACGAGATCGCCATTTTAACGCGCTGAAACGTTCATGGAAACCGGCGTAAACTAACGTAAAAAGTGGATCGTACTCGTAACATAGTTACAGCGAAGTTTTTTCGCCGCGTATACTCGCTGTTCAGGCAAAGGAGAGAAAGTAGACGCGAAACCAGGTTGAAACGATACAAGCTGTGTACCGGCGTGCCTGATCTATAGGGAATTGTTTCGATCGTGGACAATGAAAGTGATCGGGACGAAAAAAAGGAACGTCGTCATTTGATAGAAACCGGTGTAATTCGTCAAAGAGGCACGGATGATGCATACCTCGGACGTAAATGTTTCTCTCGCATCGGTTGCCTCTTGATTCGCGACACGTGAAACTTTCGAGACATGAATAATTTAGGCGCGGGGAACAGTAGTCTTTAGGTTCGACTCGTAAATGTTAGAAGTGAAAGAGCGTACGCTAAGTTTCGATAATCTTGCGATGAATTTTAGTAGGGGATAGAAGTTTAAGGGGTAAGTGAATAACCGCGAAGTTATGCGAAGATACGGAGGTAAGTTGGGACGAAGTAGGAGTTCAGATTTGTGTCGCTTGTAATTTCGTGGATTGTGAAAAGTTTTCTCGAATTGAGAAATTTCGTTTTGTTTGTCAAGGCGATGGTGAAATGATATTGATAAATTTGCCGCGTGAGAGAGGCAATTGCAAATTCTACGGTTACTTCGAGGAACTTTCACGATTAATTAGAAATTTTTAGAAATTCTTACTTTAGCAGTTTGTCTGTAGGAAATATTATAAATTCTGAGTGTGAAGATTAATCGAAATGTCTCGATACGAATTAAAAATAAGGTACTAAACTTGGAAAATAGCAAAAATTAAATTTCACGGCGTAAACTTAATTCCTGATAAATCACAGATTCTTCGGTTACTTCGAGGAACTGTGACGATTAATTAGAAATTTTCACTGTGAATTTTACACACGTACATTACTAACTCGTCTACATAAAATATTACAAACTCCAACTCTCGAAATACAAATTAAGAGTAAAAGACGGTAAACTTCGAGGTAACGACGTAAACGGAATTCCTCCCACGGTTAACACTTTTAGTAGCCATAATTTTTCCGGCAAATTCTTCATTTCAGGCCGGGACAAGCAATTCATAGTAACGTTACCAGAAGAGGAGAGGATAGCATGGATCTGGTGCATCATAATAGCGTTCGCGGTGCCAGAATTCGGCACGTTAATCCGCAGCATTCGAATATGCATCTTCAAGTCCTGGAAGAAACCGCCGGTGTCTCACTTCCTCCTCGTCTTCCTTATGGAGACCTTCCACGTGGTCGGTCTAGCCCTGATGTTTATGGCAGTGCTACCCGATTTGGATGTGGTTAAAGGTGCAATGCTGACGAACTGCGTGTGCTTCGTACCTGGGTTACTAGGTGAGAAACGTCATATTTCGCAATGATTCCAGTTCTGAGCTTCAGTTTCTAATAAATTGCTACTATACTTCGGAACCAGTAGAACGAGACGTTTGTGACGTAATCAGCGAAACGAGGTCAACTCGAATGTCAAAAGCGGGAGAGAAATGTAGATCTGAATTAATCAAATTTTCGTGTGATTTTGTTTGGGTTAAAAGTTATCCGGAGTTAATTTATGGCGAAACTACGAGTGAAAATTAAAAAAGTCACATTTTTCCACTTGTCGATATTTATAGTTTAACAGTGAATTCTGCGCGAGTAAAATAGACGCATCTACGATCATCAATTGGATACGGCTTTTTAAAAGTACATTATGGTGCCGTGTTAACCTCATTTTCCTGTTAAACTGTAATATTCTATTCTAGCACCTCGACTGGTCTCGATGTTCCGATTATTAGTTTGAAGGTTAGAGGAACTATAGTTAAATTCTTCTTTTACCTTTCGAAAATGGAATTTCACAAGGATTTCGGAATATAGTAGATCCAACTTAATATCTATTACCAAAATCAATAATTTAAAAATATCAAGTTCTAGTGGAATTAATTAAATACATTAAAGTACGATTTAAGCTTCGTTGGTCTCATCTATCAATCAGGATTGAACTTCAGGTAAAAGTGAAATACTAAATTTTCCTATAATTGAATTAGCAAAAGAGGACGTAACTACTCTACAAACTTTCAGATTATTTTTATTTAACATAAAAATTTACTATTTAAATTCGAACGATTCGAAATATACGCGAGACGCTGAAGAATCGATCCAGGCTATAGCTCGATCTGACAGCGTTCTCCGCTAAACGGAGACGTCAGAAAGATCGAGCTATCATCGCGAAGTTAACACGGATTGAATTAAGATAAAGGCTTCTTGTGCTTCTTTAAGGGCTCCTTTCGCGTAATAAAAACAAAGATGAATCGAAGAGATTTGTCCTGGTGCTGATCGATATTGCCGCACTCGCCGCTCAAGGAACAAGTTTCGTTCTTTGGCCATTGTTGAACAGTTCCCGGCCATCGTTATGGCTCATACCACCGTCTCTGTTCCTGGTTTCGTGTGGCTGGTGGGAAAATTATGTTTCGATGAAGAGTCCAATTGGTAAGTATCGCGATCTATTGTCGTGGGGATGTTAAGAAATAGTTGTCAAGCGTGAAAACGAAAGAGAATATTCTCTCGAGTATACGAGAATCGAATGGAAAAGTTTTAAAGCTATTAGAAAGATCTTGAATGACACGGAGGTTTAATAATTTCTGAAGAATTGATCGTTATAAGGGTACCTCGAGCATTTATTGCAAGTTCTTAAGAGTTTTACTACTTTTCTTTCTCGATACGAGATCTTCCGTTTCTTTAGAAGATCGCTATTAATTTCGCTCAAAATATTTTGTAACAATGAAAAAACCAAATGTTAGCTCGAAGTAGATGATCTTCTTATAATTATTTCTCAATAATTGTACATTCAAATTAAACTACTCGAGGCTTTAAATTTACCCATAAATGTTCAACTATATTTAACATTTATTTTCATATTATAGTTTTCTTAGATCTTTACGTGTTTCGAGTTATACTCAGACCTTCTTCTTGCAACGTTAACCAATGCTACACAAAATACAAATTTATTTTACAATTTAAGGATAAAGCTTTAAAATCCCTAAAATACAATTTTTCGCAAGCGTGAAACTAACTCCAATCGTATAAACAGAAAGTTTGTCACTAACTCACGACGATTAACGTCCTCCTCTTCAGGATTTGTCAGATCTCTGGGAAGAGTGAAGAAGGAACTGCGAGTGACGCGATATTTTACTTACATGTTCGTGTCTGTCTGGAAGATCGTGGCGTTCTTTATCAGCACTTTATTGATACTGTACCTCAAAGGTGATACCGTTGGACATTTATTCTCGTTACTAAACAAGGCGTTCGGAGACCATGACATCATGGTGTCGACGGTACGGCTAGATGCTACCGGCAGAATTCCTGATATTGCGGATGTAATAGAAATCAGCGAGAAGATACCAATGCCGGCGGATGTGAACACCCCTATATACGTTCTACTGTTGCAAATCTTCGGTGCTTACTTCGCATACGTGTTCGGTGAGTATTTGTAACGAAAACAATATTTATTGGACCATGAAAGAATGATCGAAGTGAGATCGATCGTCGTTGATTTCAATAGACAATTTTTTCTTTTGGGAAACTTAGAGGATAGGTAAACGCTTGTTGCGTTTTTATTAGACTGGTAATTAAGTTCGCGATCTTAACATTTTCTTGAACAAAGTTGGGATGGAAATTTATGTATCGAAGTAATTGTAAAATTCAGAGCTTTCGAATGATATATAGATCAATAAAAATGATAGACAAGATAAGTTTATTAAGTAGAACGTAAGTTAGTGAATTTAGTTGTCAACCTAATATTTACGAAGTCGATTGCTAAAAGTAAATTTTCAAAAATTCAGATGTGTCTTTATTTTTGAAAATTTTTACTTCGCTTAGATCTATTGTTTCACATGGTTCCTATTTATTAATTATGCTTTAGATTCGTCGGAAATGATTCAGCCGAAAAATACGGTCGATTGTGACTGTTCCTTGCGAGCAAGGAAATTCGAACGTGTTTGGTTTACATTGGAAATAGGATTTTGCCTCTGTTCCATCGTACGCCGACTTAATATTGCAACGCGTAGGTGGGGTGAATACCAATAAGTTCACCCTATGATATTATTTATTCACAAGGCTGTTCGTGTAGGATTTAAAGTGGATCTTGCATACGCGAAGAGCGACGCATTTTAGTTTCCCTGCAATTCTTCCGTTCAAACTTGCGCGCAATTGGCGGGGGTGGTTTATTGTATGTATAAACGTTCCCATAAAATCTTGGGATTGGCTATATTCTCTTTGCAAAAAGTTATCGAGCAATTAAATTCACGGAATTACTCAGGAATATTAAAAATGATTAGGTACTTTAGAAATTATCGTCAAACCATCTCAAGAAACTTGAAATTTGTAAGTTACGAGCGAAAGATTGCAGAGGGAGTATTAAATTTGTGTAATAATAATTAATATGACGTAATAATAATCTTCCATACAAAGTGAACATCACTGTGAGAAAATTCTAATTTTGTCATAAATGTCGCGTCACATTTTTTCCATTAAGCCAACACTGAATTTTTTAATTTTTATTTCTATTTGTTCTGTATTTAAAAAAGTCACAAATTTTAAGGCAAACAGATTATTACTAATTTTCTGATTAGCATAAAGTAAAGAAGATCACGTGAAAAGATGAACGCAACGAAAAACACAGAATCAATGATATTACTGAAAGAAATTACTCACATTACTATTTTCTCCTCAATTTAGCGAATTCTCCTAACATTTAGGTGCATCTCTCAAAAAATAATTTTCCAAGACACAAACTCTCAAAATGCGTAAACTTAAAAACATTCGGACAAACCGAAGAAAGTAGTTACTTTTTTTTTTTTTTAATCCTCTTAGATCACTCATAAAAGATTGATTTATAAAGTATCGAAGATAAATGACGTTTCGTTTATTCTAGGCAAATTCGCGTGCAAAATTCTGATACAAGGGTTCAGCTACGCGTTCCCTGTAAATCTAACGATACCAGTGTCGATCTCGTTATTGATTGCCGCCTGCGGCTTGAGGAACAGCGATCCTTGCATATTTCACGGCACCATTCCGGATTATCTGTTCTACGAGTCGCCACCGTTTCACTTCCTCAACGACTTCGTGTCCAAGCAATACGCCTGGGTGTGGCTGCTGTGGTTGCTATCGCAAACTTGGATTACTTTGCATGTCTGGACACCGAAATGCGAGCGACTTGCTGCCACGGAGAAATTATACGTCGTGCCCATGTACGATTCCCTCCTGATCGATCAGTCGATGGGTCTGAACCGGAAACGGGATGACCAGCCGGAAGTAAAAGTCGAGGTAACTTTTTCATGTAATAATATTTTAATATTCAATACTTAATATTGTATTTATGGAGTAGCACTTGTTTTTCCTATTCGTTAAAGTTTTGTATATTTCTTGCACAGAGTAAGTAAATAAGAAGTTCTACCATCTTGAATATCACCGGAATCATGAAAGAAAGAGAAAAATTATTCCAACGAAAGTTGTTTGCTATAAAAAGGACCATCGTAAGATCATAACGATTTTTTTTTTATGGACAAAGTCGTTGAAGAGATGCGGAGGTCATTCCTGTTCTTTTAACAACATACTACGCTTTTTATTTATTTTCTTATAACAGCCCTTAAGATGATTACGAGACAATACCTTTTTGTACTTAACAATTTTTATTAGAAAAATTTGTTTCTTACTTTCACGGTTCCGGAGATATTCAAGGTGACATTTCTTATTCATCCACTCTGTATGTTAAAGTAATTATTTTAATCAGTTATTTACTATCTTGCGAAATTTGTTGGGGTAAGATGAACAAAATGTTTCCACAGCATTTTGCGAGATCGAGGACTCTTAGACATTTCTAATATATTAAAGAACTTCCTATCAGATTTTAATCTCGGATCTGCTCGTGACAAGCCCCTAATTTCCCGAAGCAGACACCTTTCTTCACACTTAACGCCTTTTCTTCTAAGGGCGGTCCTCCTAAGTAGCTTTCACGATGGAAAATACTCCTCCAACTTTTCATCCTTCCTTCCTTTTTATTCGGAACTACCCGCTGTCAGTGGATATCTGTAATCTCTGCAAGAATATTCAATGTCTTTCCAAATAGAATCGTACGTTCCTTTTCTGCGACCTACTTGAAAATAGCGGATACGATATTGAATAAAGACGCCGATGCTCGATTCTGAACATCCCTCTTCGATAATACATACAAATCTATTACGTCTGTGATACAATTATAAAACGAAAGAAGGAAAGAATAACTGCATAGTTTATTCGTAGGTTCGCTCTAAATTCGATTTGTCTGTTTAGTGTATGCACAGTGGATCGACTGTCACGTATCACAATGCGGTTTCCTTTCCAATCTTCCAAACTGAATCGTCGAAATATCGAACGAACGTAATGCTTAATTAACACAGTGTGAAAATTTAACAGCAATATTAAATTATGTATTGACAAATTTTAGCAATCTTTTATTGGTAAATATGTAGATATTTTTTTATCAGACGATTCTTCGTTTAATTTAAACATTTTTCCAAGTGAAATTTGTTACATTTGTTAAAGAGCAGAGTTTCGCAGTAGAATTTCATTCACGTAATCTCGTCTAGAATGAAGAATCGATTTTCCAAAGATACTCTCGTAACATAAATAATCCTTTTTAATCGTAAACCTGTCTTCGACGACGTTTCGTTTATAGAAGTAAGTAAGGTGCTCCGGCAGATATTGGATATCGGAGAAATTTTATTTACAAGGTATAAGGAGCTAATACAATGGTAGTAGCATTCTGATATTCCGCATTCTAATCTTAATTCAACGATATGTCGCAAATATTCTTAGTTGAAAGGAATTTTAAGCATAGAATTAGCGAATTTAAAGGGACAAACCACCCCTGAGACCTGAAAATGATACCTAACTTTGGCATTTTTTTTTTGAGAAAATAATTCACTCTATTCAAATCTTTTCATAAGGGCTTTATAGTATTGCCCTTGAAGAATATAATAGTATTTTTTTTATTTCATTCCTTTACAAAATGGCGACGCTACAGTCGCATCGCCGAATCTCTATTGAGATATCAAAAATTTTCGTTATCCCCATGCCAGTTGCTAAGAAAGTACATAGAATTTTTAAGAAATACTAAATTTTATTAAAGTGGTGTACATATGAAGAAAGAATCTCATTTTTCCCTAAAATTATAGTATAAAAATGTTAATTGCAGACAAATTTTTGAATATATCGCGAAAATCCTGCGTAAACACAGATTATTTTGCGAAAGTTTCAAATGAATCGGATGAAACTGACAAAATTTATAGGCAACACCATCTTTAAAAGCGTAATTCCGAGGAAAACGCGTTTAAAGCTTCGATAAATCATCTCTGATAGCTTAAAACCGTCGAAATTCTTCATTAAAACTATCTAAATTATATTTCCAAAAGTCCTTACCACCGATTTAAGCGTAACAAAAAAAATTGGACGTTCTTCAAACCTCAGAGGGATGGTCCAAACCCTCAAGTCGTATTACTTGGCAATGCATAAATTAGATACGTTAGAATCTCGTAGAAAACCACTGGCGAGAATGGAGGTGCGATCGTTTGCATGAAAACGTAAATGGTGTTTTTGTCGGGCAGGATTTGGCAGAGATAGAGAAAGAAAAAGGTGACGGAGATTACGAGACCATATACGAGCAGACAGACGGCACGAGTACACCCCCGACGGCTGTAAAAAGCAGCGATCACGTAACCAGAATATATGCCTGCGCGACCATGTGGCATGAGAACAAAGAAGAAATGGTGGAATTCTTGAAGAGTATCCTGCGCCTGGACGAGGATCAGTCTGCCCGACGCGTTGCTCAAAAGTATCTGAAGGTTGTCGATCCGGACTACTATGAATTCGAAAGTAAGCCTATCGCTGACCGCGGTATAGGGTCAAAGATTTTGGTTGTTCAAGAACACCGATCAAATTATTAGAGCCACAACACGAAAAATACCGTATACAATCACAATATCAAGGTTTTCACACTGGACAATTTTTAATCAACGATTGTTCACTAACGATGCACGAAACAGTTGAACTTAGCTTATGTAGTTACAAAAAATACAGTTAAGAAGTAAGAATAAAGTTAGTATTTGGTAGCGCTACCCTTTGCTGCAATTACAGCATTTTTTTTTTTTCGATACATTTTAAGCAATTTACACGTGGTTCTCGAGTGGCAATTTGCAGTACTGATACAAAATACCGTCCATATGACAGATAATATTGCCTAAAGTGTCGCCAAGTGTGTGTTTGCAATTTGTAAACATCAACGCTTCGTAAAAAAATAATAAGAATTCGGTATAACTAGATTTTCATCTGAAAATTAATTAATTTCTTACAGGCGACTCTAATAATTTGATCACCCTCTGTGGTCTTATAGCGCTTAACACATTATTAATCCCTCGAATTTCAAAGACATTTTTCACATCAATTTTGAAATTCTTGAAAGTAACATGCATATTTGAGAATCAAACATTGTCTTCTTACGCGAAATCGTCAATTTTGTTCCATTACATAATTTGGAGCACTTTACGGACGATGTAAAACGAAATAAGAACTTGTTACAGAAATTATGCAAAGGTGAAAGCGAACGAAGTAGCGTGAAAAAGAGATTTGTCGCGTTAAGAGCAACAAGTGTCACTTTTCACTTTTTCACAAAGACAGGAAATCAATTTTAATACGACAATGTTGCAAGAAAGAGCGAATGTAAGGGGAAGATGAATAACACGTGTAGCGATAGAAATATGAGGTTCCATATCTCTGATAAATGCACGCGATAAACCAGAGTAGAACCATAAAAATGAGGATTATTTTCGGTATACGTAGTCTACCTTTAAAGAAGCATCCTCGAACGATCAAACACTAAATTATTATTGTCTCTTCAGCTCACATCTTCTTCGACGACGCGTTTGAGTTAGCGAAGCACGATGAGAACGAGTCGCAGGTGAATAGGTTCGTGAAACTGTTGGTGGGAACTCTAGACGAGGCTGCGTCAGATGTTCATCAAACAAGGATGCACGTCAGAGCTCCGAAGAAATATCCTACGCCTTACGGTGGTCGTCTGGTATGGACTCTTCCTGGTAAAACGAAAATGATCGCCCATCTGAAAGACAAGAGCAAGATTCGTCATCGTAAACGTTGGAGTCAGGTACAGGCCGTTGAAGTTCTATCAAAATTTTCAACAAATACTCACATTTCTATAGTCATCTGTATTTTTCGAAATAAGTTTAAATCTGTAAGTTTACCTTCAAACTCACTTCTCAGGTTATGTACATGTACTACTTGCTGGGACATCGTCTGATGGAATTGCCAATCAGCGTAGATCGCAAGGAAGTAATCGCAGAAAACACGTATCTGTTAACCCTCGATGGTGACATCGACTTCCAACCTGCTGCCGTGAAACTGCTCGTAGATTTGATGAAGAAGAACAAGAACCTCGGTGCAGCTTGCGGCCGTATTCATCCGGTTGGCTCAGGTGAGTTTTACCAGACAAGTTGCAATCTTAAGAAGAATAATTTAAATTCATAACAATTTGTTACGGTTCAGGTCCTATGGTGTGGTACCAAATGTTCGAGTACGCTATTGGTCATTGGCTGCAGAAAGCAACGGAGCACATGATCGGCTGTGTACTTTGTAGCCCTGGTTGCTTCTCGCTCTTCAGAGGAAAAGCTTTGATGGACGATAACGTGATGAAGAAATATACGACAAGATCCGACGAGGCGAGGCATTATGTTCAGTACGATCAGGGAGAGGATCGATGGCTTTGTACGCTTCTTCTTCAACGTGGTTACAGAGTAAGTACCGAGAAAAATCTGTCGAAAATTAAGGATAGTTTCTTCTATGTTGACAATATTTTCGACGTTCAAACAAAATCATTGTGGTAATTACAAATTGTATGACGTTAAATTTTGAGGTTTTTTATGTTTAGATTAGAAAATTAGACATCGAATAAAGTACCTTTTATCAGCTAATTTATTTATGTTTTCTACGTTTTTACTAATTATAGGTTGAGTACTCAGCAGCCAGCGATGCTTACACTCATGCACCTGAAGGTTTCAACGAATTCTACAATCAACGTCGTCGATGGGTGCCTTCTACTATAGCCAACATTATGGATCTTCTGATGGACGCGAAACGAACGATAAAGATCAACGACAATATTTCCCTTCCCTACATCTCTTACCAGATTTTGCTCATGGGTTAGTTTAAACATTTTTCCTTAATTTTTTCCCCTTATTCGCTATCACCTTATGTCTACCAAATTTCATTCTCATTCACTATGTCTGACGATAAATTTCAAAGTAAACTATCAAACTCACAAGTTGCCCAAAAATTTGTCTTTCAGGTGGTACCATTTTGGGACCAGGTACGATTTTCCTCATGTTGGTGGGTGCGTTCGTGGCAGCCTTCAAGATCGACAACTGGACCAGCTTCTACTATAACATTATTCCTATTCTCCTCTTTATGATCATATGTTTCACTTGTAAGGCGAACATCCAGGTAAGTTGACGTGCAATCAGCGCGAACTCGTTCTATGATCATTCGTCGCTTTCACCGTTTCCGTATGTTTCTTCTTTTGTTTTTTTTTTTCATCCTCGTTTTCCAGCTTCTGTTCGCGCAGATACTCTCGACATTGTACGCGATGATAATGATGGCCGTAATCGTAGGTACTGCTCTCCAGCTCGGAGAGGACGGTATCGGTTCACCATCGGCCATATTCTTGATATCCTTGTCCAGCTCGTTCTTTATAGCTGCCTGTTTGCACCCGCAAGAATTTTGGTGTATCGTTCCTGGAATCATTTACCTACTCTCGATCCCCTCCATGTACCTTCTCTTGATTCTCTATTCGATCATAAACTTGAACGTCGTCTCCTGGGGTACACGTGAGGTCGAAGTGAAAAAGACGAAAAAGGTTCGTTCGAATGTTCTCCGCTTCGCTTTTTATTCACATTATCATAACCAGGAAGTTTCGGTTGAATCTTGCTATTTTTAAGAAATATCATAGGCCATCGACGAATAGGAAGCATTTGGTGGTGGTTCAAGCGCAAACATCTGGAGTGTACGCAGTGCTTTTGTTTAATTCCACATGCCAGCTCGAATGCAGCTTTTTTGTCTGCAAATGTACGTTTTAACTTGTTCGTAACAAAAAGAGATACATTTGAGTGACACGTTGAGGATACATTTGCGTTATTATTTTACTGCTGTATATATTTATGATATCGTGAGATCGGTGTAGTTTTTAAGTTCAGTCTTTGAACAGATAAGATTTAGGAATGTTATTCCTAACAAGTTAACCAAACCACTGGATAACATATAGTTTTCAATTGCTCTTTCAAAATGTCAGTCAATAAAAACGCTTTAACCCTCCATTTATCTATATTTTATAGTCTCATTTCATTCGTTTATTTCTATAATATTGCACTATTAAATTATCACCAGTCAACTTTTTCAAAATAATTATTACATTTTTATAATAATCACAATTTCAAAAATTTACTTCTCCCATCAAAATTTTCTTCTCACGAACGAAGAAGAATCAGGCTACACAGGTATGAAGAAGAAATTATCATTCTTCGTCTAACTTTCTCCAAAGTTCGAAAAGCCAAAGCTATCCTAAGATTCTTCCAATCCAATTCTTCGTAGAACAACGAATCACTTTACCCCCGGTGTCCTCAACGTGCAACTCTCTTTTACGCAATCGACGTGTGTATAAAAAATACAATTACACATACAAGACTAATGACTACTAACAACGGTGTGTCAGGTTATCATGGCAGCGATAATCAGCACTCTTTACGGCATGGTGATGATCGCCGTGATCGTTGGGATCGCTATTAGCATCGTCGAGGACGGCGTGTTGTCGCCGTCCTCGTTGTTTCTGGCGTTGCTGGTAAGTCAGCTGGTGATATCCGGCATATTGCACCCGGCGGAGTTTTACTGCCTATTATGCAGCGTGATATACTTCGTCACCGTACCATCGATGTACGTGCTGCTTGTCATTTACTCGGTTTGCAATCTGAACGACATCACGTGGGGCACGAGGGAGGTGGAGGTTAAAAAAACCGCCGCGGTAATTATCTATACATTTTAACCGACTGATCAATTTTTCTCGCAATTACCCTTTTACTCGTTGCTGGAGCCATTAGGGGCTATTAATGGTTGCTCACCTTGGAACAAACATGGAGAGTGACGCGTGAATCTTTTAGGCGCGATTGGAAATTGATCCACGTTGGTATATTTTATTTGGGAGCGTCTCGAAGTGATAATCACCGATATCGATGAAACTTTGGTATATTGTAGTACTTAAAAATATATTTAACATGTGTCTACTTTTCTATCGGTGATCGTTTATATCGAAGGGGTGAAAATTGTACTCGAAGATGAGAGTATAAACATATTTGGGTAAAATTAGTTATCCAAAATTAAAAGAAATGTGTTTGAAGCACTTTTTTTTTTTAATTTACGTGATTACGGAAGTGTGAAGAAAAATATGGCGAAGTAGAACTAAAGAGGGATGAAATATATGAAGATCGATACATGGTGAATTAAAAATCATTCACGAATGAACGAGATATTTGTTCATTTTTAAATGAATGTCGTTCTTGCAAGATTGTTTCAAGGTGCAAAATTTGATACTAGATACTTTTAACATTACATTTTTAGAAGCCATGATAGCTATAATTAATTAATTAATAATTTTGTAATATTGGCTTTCAAGCGAGTGCTTATTGTAACTAAAGAATGCATAATATTGTTTTAAAGTCTTTTTATATTAGAATATAAAATTACTATTACATTGGTAATGTAATTTTAAGTGCTAACATTGTTACAATAACCAAAAAAGGGTAGCTTTATAATATTAACAGTTCTATGTGTGGTTTCAGGAATTTCGTTTTTACTATTTGTTACTTAATCAAAATTAAGATAAACATATTGCATTTTTTCTCCGTTAAACGAATAGGAACTTGAACAAGAGAAAAAGGAAGCCGAGGAGGCGAAACGGAAAGCGAAACAGAAGTCTCTATTGGGATTCCTGCAAAATGGTGCAGGCTCGAACGACGACGAAGAAGGATCTATAGAGGTTTCTTTGGCAGGTTTATTCAAGTGCATGTTCTGCACTCATGGTCAAACCTCGAATGAGAAGCAGCAATTGGTCGCCATCGCTGAATCTTTGGAACAAGTTGGCAAACGTCTGGAAGTCATCGAAAGGTATTATTTAATACTGTCGTTAAATCGCTATTTCAATTTAATTTTAACACTATTTTTAAATCACAGGCTGTTCAAATATGTTTTCTATTTGAATATGAACGATAATCTCTAGATTATCTCATCGAAAAGAATTATTAACTCCATTCTTGTACTTTAATTACCGTCTTCCCTTCACTATTCTATTTTTACCATCGATAAAACTTTGGCTATCTTAACAGAAATTATATTAAAGGTTAAATGTTCGCCTAACCTATTAGTACAAAAAGAAATAACAAAATTCCATCAGACTGTACGCCTCCAATTAGTTTCAATTACTGCAACTGGTTAGGCATTTAAAAACAACCACGAAGTCTTACAACTTTTACTCCTGGAAATTGCTGAAATACACTCGATTGACCGGTCGTGAATGTTTTACGTGAAATTGCGTTTAAATGTCATGCGTTTCCTGGTTCGGTCATTCCACAGTTGGAAAGAGAGTTACGTAACAATTGTATTACATTATATTCACCTGTACACGTTCGTTTACGCAAGTTATGGTTCGTGAAAGCGACATTGTCAGGTTGTAAATTAAAACATTAAACGGTGACATCGACTGATGTAGCCACGCCTATGGTTGTCCGCCATTTGTGAATTGATACTTAAAACTTTTGCTTGCAATCTTTCATTTAAGCTATTCGGTGTTAACCCTAAATAGTATGTCCTTTCGTTCGACTATGGGTCAAGAAAGACCTGGGTATTTGAGTCTTTGGGTCAAAAAAGACCCGAATCTTTGGGTCTTCAGGTAAAAAAAGACCCGAGTTTTTGGTCTTCTGGTCAAAAAAGACCCGAGTTTTTAGGTTTTTGGGTCTTTGGGTCAAGAAAGACCCGAGTTTTTGGTCTTTGGGTAAAAAAAAGACCCAGGTCTTTGGGTCTCCGGGTCAAAAAAGACCCGAGACTTTATGTTTTCGGATCTTTGGGTCTTCGGGTGAAAAAAGACACGAATCTTCGGGTCTCCGGGTCAAAAAGGACCCGGTTGCTAATTTTGTACATCTGCTCAATCGTTATTAGCAACAATCACGGGAAAAACGCAAGTAACATCGAAGAAATAACTTCTTAACTTTCTTTTCATTTATCTAGAGCCGTGGATCCTCACGGAATGTCGACTCGACGTCGCGCACCCTCCGTCGGTTCCCGAACAGCCGATCATTTGAGCGCCATTGGTGAGGATTCTCGAGAAGAGGACTGCCATAGCAAAGCGGAAACCGTAACTAGTCAAAACACGGAAGGCAATCGTGAGGGTAACTTCCTCAGCAGACCTTACTGGCTAAGCGACGAGGGATTGAAGAAGGGTGAGATCGATGTCCTGTCACTGCAGGAGGAACAATTCTGGAACGACCTTCTGGAGAAGTATCTGTACCCTATCGACGAGGACAAGGCGGAAAAAGTAAGAAATTTTAAGCTTTTGCATCTAATAGTTCGCCGAATCTGAGAACATTTGTTTCTCTTCTTTTATTGAATTTTTTAAAAACGTAGATTTTGAAAATGTCGAGTAGTTTTGAAAATTTTGGAACAATAAAGTTTTTCTTGAAAATTTGTTTGAATAATTATTGGAATAATACGTAGATTTTGAAAGTTTTGAGTAATTTTGAAAAGTTTGGAACAGTGAAGTTATTTTTTGAAAATTTGCTCGAAGAATTATTGGAATAATTGTTGCATGTTAAAAGATAAAAATTCTTGATTAACTTTTTATTATTTTCATAGGAATAAAGTCTGAACGGTTTGTTATGTTCATTGATAGTGAAATTTCTAGCGTTGTTTGTCGATTAAATATGTTTCCAAAGAAGATGATTAATCACGAAGAAAGTTCAATAGCAAAGATACGAATTTAATGCAACTTATTTGTGCAACTTTACAAATATAGGACCTGTAGGATATATTTTACTGTGATATGAAGGACCACTAAACTATAAACAAACGTAAGAACTTACTAATAAATTAAAGAATTTCTTAGAACATTCTGGTATCGAGTAATTCCATTAACTTTAAATTACAATAATATTCTCTTGTTCGAGCTTTTTTTTAACACACATTTAATACGTAATAACACAGTAACATTAAAGGAAATTGCACAAATTATTAAACGTCGTTAAATTGCCACGAAAAAAAAAAAAAGAAAGTGTTAAACGTAATTTTCAAAAAAGTCCAAGAGTAATATATAAAATTTAAAAAACGTTGCCCAAAATTTATATATGGCATACGAGGAGAAAGGAAACTTGCTATAATTACAATTTAATAATTAAAAATAATCGATCCATGCTACTTGCGTCAGGAACGAATCGCTAAAGATCTAAAGGACCTACGTGACCAGAGCGTGTTCGCGTTTTTTATGATGAACGCCCTCTTCGTCCTGATCGTCTTTCTGCTACAATTAAACAAAGATTTGTTGCACGTGAAGTGGCCCTTCGGTATCAAGACGAACATCACCTATGACGAAAGCTCGCAGGAGGTAAAGACCGCTCCGTCCACGTCGTGTTGTCCTGCTCCTTAATTATCACTCCCCCTTTCCCCCATTAGAGCTATTTTAGTTGTCATGCTAATCTTCACTTTGGCTTCTCGTAGCAAAACATTTCAGATGCCGTACAAACCTGTCCGTTTCGTCTCTATAAATTAAAAAACTTCTCAAACAATCGCGACAGGTCGTCAATGAAAAGGTAGAAAAAAAAAAAGAAGACAAATTGCACGCAAAGAAATCTGGTACAAAAGTAAAAATTTCATCGAACTCGATGGTACAAGTTTGAGCATTCAAATTGTTTTGCAGCCAAAAACTCGTTGTATTGTATTCTTTTCTTTTTTACCATAAAAAGCTTTCTAGATGGCAAATAGTGCTTCAAAGCTTAAATGTCCTCAGAGAGAATCCCGTCTTGAAAGAGGAGCTAATATGGATCAATGGCCGACCGGACGGAGCGTATTTTTTTCTTTACATGTTTGCTAATTTATGCTATTTTTCTTCTCTGACCGACGATAGGCTCGCATTGCCAGTGACCTGATAGAGCTGCGGAACAAGAGCGTGTTCGCGTTTTTTATGTTCAATGCGTTGTTCGTTCTGATCGTATTCTTGCTGCAGCTGAACAAAGATCAGCTGCACGTTGTCTGGCCGCTCGGCGTCAAGACCAATCTCACCTTCATCGAAGAGACCTCGGAGGTACCTGGTAGTGTTCCGTATGAAAAACAGAGATGCTGTCTCACTGATGCCTCGGGAGACTAACACCTTCATGTGCTCCGTTGCTCGCGCCATTTTCTTCTCTATTCCAACGATTTCACGTTTCCTTCCATTCGATCTCCGGTTTTCAACGTCGGCTACGAATCAAAATTCCAAGTGCTCTGCGCAAAGAAATCAATGTTACGAGGAAAAGAAGAATAGGTCTGTTAGATTGATCCCTTCGTTTCCCGAGTTACGCTTTCCTCGATGAAATTATTCTAGACATTCCCTTTTCTTCGATCTAACGTCTGAAAGAGGTCTATCGCCTGCAAGTTACTTACGTAGTAAGAAGAGACTGTTAGTTTAGAACTGTTATTTAACGATCGTTGAAATTGAATCATGGATTGTAAGACTTTTTACGTTGCGTTGTGCATCTGTAGATGAGCTCTTACTATCCTCGAGATACTCGTTGGTATTCGAACTTGGTGTCGAAATACGAGTCAGAGTACTCGAGTATCCGGATTTTCTTTGTTAATTATTCAAATGTGAAGCTTGCCTTATCTGGATTGAGATTAAAGCACGGAGACTGTCGTTTAGATAGACTCCGAATTTAATGTGAATCCAAATCATGAGAGTACTCGGATACTCTAAATTGAGCAGTTATCCAAGTACTCCCCGAACCCGAGCAGTAAGAGCTTTTATCTATAGATACTTTATATTACGTTGGAACTTCTCTGTCTAAAGTTTCTCTTATTTTTGCGAAGTCAAAGAATCTCTAACAATTTCTATTCTTACATTATTCTGAGATATTTCTACCTTCGTTCTAGTGCTGCATGTCTGTAAATCCAAAATTTTAGCCTAATAAAGAAGCTTTATCGACGTCTCTATTTCAATATCAAGCTCACACAGAGCATACTGCTTTCATCTACATAGTCTAATAATGCTCGAAATTCTCTCAAACTCTGATATGTATTAAAATTTCAAACGTGATTGCCATTTAATTTTCCAATCGAATTTTCCTTTCCTTTGGAACTATTACTCACGTAAGAAAGTGAATAGAGACGTTGTTAAAAGTTACATAGTTAAGGCAGTTAGTTGAACGTTCGATGACCACGTTATAGCGAGCATCGGAGCACAGTGGAAAATGGTACCCGGTGATAATGTTGCACTTACTGGAACATGTCTGTGTTTTGTCAATAACGTGGATCAATAGCACGTGGCGAGTTACTATTAACATGTTTGCACAGGTACTCCCGGAACGAATGGAACACTTGGGGCGGAACCAAGCAAATGACTAGAGGCTAGTTAGCTAAAGTCACAAATAACATCGACGCCTTGTTAATTGAGATCCTTTAGTCGAACCTTGTCCTTTGTGTTTCTTCCTCGTTGATTTGTTTTATTCTTTCTCTTGTGAATTAAAAATGGATACTATAGTCGTTCGGTACGATCATTCACGCTAACGGATCTTTACATTTACTAACATCGACGTTTGTTCATTTAACCCCTGAACGCTCACGTTTCTCTCAGCTCGACGTGCCAGACGTTGTCAATTTTATGTTTTTCTTCAATTATTTCCTAGGCGTATGGAAATAAATTTTCGATTATTTTACGATACTGTAACTTACGTTTTTGCCTTAATAGAAAGAACGGCGGAATATGAAACGCGAAAGAAAATAATTGAACAAAATTGCATTTATCGGAGGATTAATTATGCACGTGTGAGACACGGGCACGAGCGTTAAAGGGTTAACAGTGTCGAAGCCTGGAGAGTAAGAGAAATATCTGAAACGATTTTTAAATTATATCGAAAGTATATTAAAAAAATTTGAGATAATAAATAATACGGTGTTTTCTAATTTTAAAATGGACAAATCATTTCGAATTTGGAAATGTTCAAATATTGAAGTTCGTTTATACAGAAACTTCTATTCGAATAATAGCTTTAGGTATACGCAAATTGTGTCGAATTTGTCCAATTTTGCTCCATTCTTCTTCGACACTCTCTCGGCTTCCGTACACTTTTTGGCTCTCTCGTGGTCAAGCAGTTTTCAGGGGTCGAGTTAGAGACATAGCACTTGTTCTTCGATATATACATATACATATATGTTAACACATGCACGGTTTAAAAGTCACGAAAGAGTCGAAAAAGCACCCTGAACACCTTGTTCCGTTTCTCCGCTCACCTGGTTGAATACGAAAGAGGGAGGAATTGTCACGCAGATATCTGTTTCACATTTCTTGTGTGTCTAATTCTGATAATGCACTGCTAGGTATGACAGCAGAGGAGCACCACTAACGAGTTACCGTCAATGTAACTAAGCGGTGGCTTATACGTGTATATGTGTCTAGAAAACTTGTATTCACCTGATTGTACCGAACGAATAGCTGATTTAAAAAAAAAAAAAATCAAAAATTACACCGTTACATCTGAATTCTTAAGAAATCTTACTTAATTTAGATCGATAAAAAAAATTCTTGAAAAATGTATTCAATACGTTACTTTTTGAAAGCTACTTGTTTCGTACATTCAGGAGATTAATTGTTATTTCATTACGTGCTACTAGTCGCTTGATGTTTTATTATTTAAATATACACACGAATGTTATACAACGCTCAGTTTTCACGTAGTGAAGTAACAATGAAAAATAGCAATAATAACCGTAACGTGAACTATTTTACATATTTCTCTCCTCTATCTCCTTCTACATTTTAAGTTTAATTCATAGCACAGCTCATTTATCAACGTCTTTCCTAATAATCAACGTATACCGTAGGTACACATTACCAAGGAGTATCTGCAACTCGAGCCAATTGGCCTGGTGTTCGTGTTCTTTTTCGCGTTGATATTGGTTATCCAATTCACCGCGATGCTGTTCCATCGATTTGGCACGCTCGCGCATATTTTAGCCAGTACCAGCCTTGACTGGTACTGTTGCAAGAAGGTACGCGACATTTGTCAAATCTCATTTACGTTCGTTGTCAAAGATTTTCGTCGTTAGAAATAATTCTCACATTTATACTTTTATTAATTTACATTGTTTTTGTGTCGCGAATGTCTCGCTAATGTGAATTAAAGTTCATCCTGCAGAATTATTTTGACTTTTCAAATCGCTAGTTTTTGCTCTCTGAAATTTTCCAGGAAAAAGTTGAACAGGTGTATTGGAAAATTATTTGAACTCCTTCGTGGATATATTATTATTATTTTTTAGTTTGTTGTTTATTATTGAGAGTATGTACTCTAGTGAAATGTAGATCCTTGGTCAGAAGTATTAGGCACATTTATTGTTACAATTTATTGCTAAAAGTATTCCTTTGAAACCTTTCTGTTGTTCGTCAACCTTTGTCGGTCAGTTGAAAGGAATTTTGAAACTGTTGACAAGATTTTATAATTATCCATGAAACAGCAGTCTGCATTCTGTGTCTTTCTCTGAAAGTCACTGTATTCTGTAAGCTTGTCTTTAGTTTCACCGTAAAAATTTCCAAAGTTACAAAGTTTTCCTTGAAATATGCCAGAATAATTAAATAGTGAACCATAAACGCAAGTTAATTCTTCCTTTCAAATTAACGAAGAACGATTATTTTCACATTTCAATAATTCCATTTCTTCCTAGTACAAAACAATTTTTAAATAATTCACATTTTACGGGATGCCTGATACTTTTGGTTCAAAGAAGGGTTAATCCATCAAAATCTTTGACTTACGATACATTGTAACAAAGAGAAAAAATATTTTAAGGACAAACTGAATTTATCAATGAAATTTCTTTCATTCGTTAGACGAAGGATTTGTCGGAAGAAGCGCTATTATCGAAACACGCGGTGGAAATAGTGAGGGATTTGCAAAGATTAGACGGCATGGAGGGTGATTACGAGGAAGGAAGCGGCAGTGGACCAGGCAGAAGACCGACGATAAGAAATTTGGAAAAGAGCCGAAGAAAAACGCAGGCCATCAATACGCTCGATGTCGCTTTCAGGCAGCGATTCTTCAGTATGCCTGATGCCAACGGTATGCAAAAATTTCACCCGCAATTTTTACGACCCCATGAAAACGCGCGAAAGCAGAAATTTGTATTTATACAAATATCGTCGCGTCCAATGTTTACCTATTTGCAGAAGCTACTTTAAAATTCAACAACAAATTGAAACCAGCGTGTTTATTATGACACGTAGTAGCTTTAGAGTGGTGAATATTTATTCCGGGAAATATCAGAATGTTAACTCAACTCTGTTACGAATAATGATATTTCGTAAATTGATTAATCTCGTTGGTAATTTATTTGGCGAATTCGTGAAACATCGAAAGATTTTAAAAATATACAGATTCAGGGTGTTTCGTTTTAATCTGTCCAATCAATTATCTCCTAAAGTATTTGCTACTCGAACAAATGTTTCAAATAGAACTTGTTCTGTTTCCAGTGGAACATTTTACGATGGCCACTTGTTTTCTTTTTAATGGAACTGTACGTTTTTATTTGGGCAGGTTTGTAGCTCACTTCGAGACGAATTCTTAATCTAAAAATGTTGGTCTTTGAAGATCATTCAAAATCACTCATAATTTTTGAAATTCTGTTCTACATACGGCGACAAGATTTTCACAGATTAAAATGAGACTGCGGGAAAATTTCTGCACGAAAAATCGTTTATACCTGAAATAATTGTTTATCTAAAAATTGTCACGATTCAACGTATTTTGTAATTTCAAAGGAAACGAGGTATCAATCTGACGACAAAAGAAAATGTTTTTACACGACGATTCAAGGGAGTATTTCGTTGATGCATGTTTCGATGTAGGTTTGCCGAGGAATATGTCGACGAGACGTTCCGCGAAGGCTTTCAAGGCATTCGAAGGTCGCAGGAACAGCATAATGGCGATGAGGAGAAAGTCGCAGATGCAAACTTTAGGAGCGAATAACATTTACGGTGTGGCGGGCAATCCCTTGGGAATTCAAGGACGTCCGTTGAGAAGCAGCCAGATTTCTGTTAAGGACGTGTTCGAGGGACACGGAGGACACACGAATTCCGCTTACGAACCGGACGAGAACACCGGAAGCAGCCTGAGACTTCACAATTTAGGTCAGAGCACGTGGAGAGAGCCGAACATTCATAACTGATGCAAAAGGTTGTTTCACGGACCTATGTAACTTTTTCGTTGCGAAAAATAAACAGGGTGAAGAAAGTGGAATCTTGATCGCCACGAATATCACTCGTTTGTTTTCGATAGTGTGAAAAGGATGTTGAAGGAAGAGGTTATTTTGATTACTTAATTCGAACGGGGAAAATATTATGAAAATTTTTCTGTAAGGTCGTTCGTTTTCGAGATTTTTAGGTTTTTTAAAATTTCTTTAAACGAAGTACATGTTTCTATCGTTATGAGGTGATAGCTGAGGTCAAGACCTATCCAATGACCTATGATAGCGTGAAAAATTCGGAAATGTTTAGGAATAGATGCTAATAATGAAATAGTGATTGCAACAGAGAGATTAGCGAAGGAAAATTTAGTTGGACAAGTCATTTATGGGTGTGATATCCGTGGTGACATCATTATTGAACCATTTTGTTATCGATACCACTTTGAGCTAAATTATCATAGGCATTGACATAATTTATCGGCGAACGATTGGAAAATTAGGAAAGTTCTAACGTCTCAGCTAACGAAAAGTGTAAAAAAGTGTTCTTAAATTTTTCAGGTAAGCAATTATAACGGACATCCTCGAACCTTCCGACGATAACCGGATGAGATGCGTGCAATGGCCGCGATTTCCCCTAGAAATCGCTAGAACACAATGTTGTCACCGTCAATGTTGTCAACAACAGAACCGATTTGATTTGAACATCGTCGCGCATTTCAGCGCTTCCTCTAGCAATTATCCATTAGTTTATCTGATTACGTATGATATAAGAGCGGATAGAAGAGTACGAAAAGACTGCCTTCGTGTAGACTAATTTATGATGAAACGAATGGAACAGGGCCGTCTTTAAGCTCTTTATTTATTTATTTCTTCCCTTTAAGTGAAAGAAGAAGAAAAGGAACCTCGCCCTTTTTCTTCCCTCTAAATTATAAAAGAAAAACAACAACGACAAGGAAAGAATTGGAAAAAGAAAGAAAATAAGAGTGTAGGAGTTAGTCGAATTGCCAATTCGAGTGCTTTTCTACTCTGGGATGTTAAACATCGAGCTAGACGCAATGGTCGTTGAACATAACGGAGTTAAAGGCAGTCCTGAGGTGGAAACGTATTTTTTCTTTTTTTTCTTTTATTTTTACTCGTGACTAGATATTTAAGACAAACGAACTGACCGGTAAATTAGCGATATTTCATTGCGCAGCTACCGCCGCGTACGATATTGGACGGTGTTAGGATAAAATTCTCCTGGACGATTATCGAACGTAAAAATAGCTTCGTTAACTCGTGTCAACGAATAACGTGTATTATTACACTCGTGTCACTTGGACACGTGTGTGTGTGTGTGTGAGACAGTAATCGCAGCGACGACGCTTAACATTCCTTTTCGCTCCTTGTAAACGTGATACCGCCGTTTATAATAAATATATCGAATTGTATTTAAATAGTTATACGACTTTTTGTATATATCGCGTGCGTACGTGTAACGTTAAGCCTGTAGAAAAATCCTGTTGATTGTGAACGAAATAAAGTTTGAACGATCAGCGGCCATATTGTCAATTCACTTCATCGAACTTATTTTTTGAGAAATGTTCCTGCACCAGTAATTTTTTCTTAAGGGAAATTCGAAGGCAATGTTTAGATGCTTGTGCATAGATTTATTCGACCATATGTAGAGGAGAAGGTCTAAATATGGGGTAGTTGAGGTATTGAATGTGTTGAGTGATTGATCCTGTGGCTGGTACGTCGTCGTCAACAAACCCTTACCGAACCTCGTTCTATTCTTCCACGCGAACTTTCCCTTTTCCAACTCCTTCAGATCTTAGTTTCCATTCTTTTGTCTCTCCCCGGGTTTAAGACTTGCCTTCGTCCTCGAGTGGCCTAAGAAGCGCACATGTGGCATCCAGGTTCGCACGAGGACGAACGAATTTTCCGCTTACACCACTTCCTCCACTTCTATCTTTATCTATCGCTACTCCTGTCTCCCTGTCCTAACAATAGAAAAACCCAGTACGCCTACACCTCCGGACAGTTTGTCCCTTTACCGACCACCGCGACGTACCCGCCGAACCGCTGCCGCCGGGACAAGTGACAAAATAAACGATTGTACTTTCTGGACCAATTGTACGCCTATACGACCTTTATACTTTAATAAATTGAGGTGAAAACAGGGTAACGACGTTCCTCACCCACCTCAATCCTATTGAAAATAGAACGAAAGTACGAGTTGTGAAGAAAGTAAGTTTCGTGGAGGAGGTAGTGACATGTAGTAAACATGTTATTGATATACATTTAAGTGTTGTATTTGAAAAATTATCTCAGGTTTGACAATAAATTCTGAAATAACAGCGGTAGCCCATATTTAGACCTTCTCCTCTATTTGTGCCATTTTCTTCTGCTACCTTCCGCCATCTTTGCGGCAGTTTCCTGATTCCATCCTTCGCGAACTTTGCATTTTTTCTTGGCAATGAGCTAGGCCAGGTGGGAATGTTTTTTCAAAATGAGACGAAATTAATTTCCTAGCTGATCCTCCGTACATCTGTTTAGAATTTATTTAGCGTTGTGTAATTTTAACGGAGAAGATATTAAATATACAATATTTACGATATTTTATATCGAAACATAACTTGTACTATTACTACAAAGAAAAAAGAATTTACATTCCCCATCACAGCTGAAAATATCATATTTCCATGCGACATAATATTCGTGGACAAAAATTCATCAAAATTTATTCTTACCAATTTTCTAAAATTACTAACAAATGAGAAAAATTCGATACTTGTTCAGCACGTGTACAGCATTTCATTTGACTTCTCGTGAAATTTGATGAGATCTTCAATCTTAATTACATATAATAAAACAATACAATCGGAAATCACCAAATTGACTCTAATAATGTATTCGATTATTGGATAAATTTCGCGTAGACTGTAAATTTACAATTACAATTTAATTCAATCTATAACCGTTTATTTCGATAACATCATATTTACAATCATAAAACCCTACTCAAGTTCGTATCAATTATTCGTAAATGATTTTGAACAATTCTGCACGAATAAAGCAAACTTCTACGGCAAGTTAGCTTGTCGAAACGCTTCTGTCATGCACATTATGTAAATCAACATCATATAATCGTTTATGGAGCGTCGTATGGTCCATCCTTGATAAAATCCCTCCGGAGGCAGAGCCCAGTTTGTCAAAATGAAGGGATAATTCGCTACTAACGCATAATGGTTGCCTACTGCGTACCTGAAAGTTACTTAATCATCTAAATAAGATTAATTCTCTATCGAAAGGGAATTTTCAAAGATTTTTCACACTTACGCGAAATATCCGCCGAGAATCACCCAAGTGAAAATATAGAACCTTGTTTCGTTTAGAATATTAGACTGAGAATAGGAACCATCTGGAATATCTGTTTCCTAAAAATCAAATTCTGTTGGGAATTGTCTCGATCTTGATTGCTATTGTTCACGTTTCCACGAATTTAGACGAAATTCCTTTTCTTTAATGTTGAATAAAAAGTTAGAATAAAGAGTACATCTTAGATTTTCGGACATTTTAAATAATCTTAAATTAAAAAATCTTGAGAAATCTTACAACATGCAGAAAATTATGAAATAAAATGTCGCCAGTACCTGTGATTGCGTTGTCGCCATTTTGTGCAATTTGATCACGTCCAAAGTTGACAAACTAGCAGCAACGCAGCCACCGAGAATGTAGTACCTGTGACTGGAATACAGCGAATAAATTAGTCCGGCCATGCTTAGGGTTCCAAGGACCTCGTCTAAAATATTGAATCTTCCCTTGCACCTCTCCTCCTCGATCTCCATTATCACCGGATCAAACGCTGAGAAATAAGGATCAACCGTAATTTAACTGAGAAAGAAATCGGAGGCGAAAATAACGAGCCACTCACGATACTCCTTGAAGAAAAGTTTGTACACGAGAACGATCAAGGATCGAGCACCGATCATGGAGATACCAGCGCAAGCGAGCACAAAATGGGGGAACAATTTGGAATATTGCGCGTAGGAATGATTTATCAGGATGTAAATTGAGGATCCACATGTTAGAAGCAGATTCGAGCACGAAAATACAGATTCCAATATCATAGAACAGACTTCGTGACGAGAAATGATATTTAAGATCGAGAAATGATCGCGAACAACTGACAGGAATTATGTGAAAGCATTCATCTCTCTGCACAGTACAATAATTAAATGTTATTCTTCAGAATAAAATGAAATATTAAAGTAACCAAGAAAGTATGCTTAAAAATAACATTTTACTTTCTTCTTTGCATTTAAACTGCAACTATTAAACTCCACAACTTTTTACGACATATCAACGTGATTTTTATGTGAGAGAAGTTTGTTCATTCGACGTTGCAATTGGTGGAATCTTCTTCAGACGCGTGACGTTGGTTAAGCACGTATCGATAGTTAACGAAGCTGATTAATCTGCAAATCGAAAGGAATCGAATGGTAAACTCGATCGAATTGGAGTAAAACGAGACACGTTCACGTGGCACGATACGTTTTGACACGATGATTCGCGACAGGATTGACAAACACGCGTTAGAAAAGTGCGAGAATATGAATGAAATTGCGTGATATGACGCTATGCAAAATATATTTCTCGTTGTGATTTGTAAGTTGACCGCGATATACATGGTAACAGCGTCAGAGAAATTTCGTACAACTGTCGACATCACTGAGAACGTTAACAACAATCCTGTTCACTGTAACAATAATAATAATAGTACTATAATGGAAGATATTGCTGTAAGTACCCTTTCTCTCGAATAATCGAAAAGCATTGCCATGAACGTTTGATAAAGGACGTTTTTTTAGTAACGTTAAAGATACCAATGTCACGATCATAACCAAAATGGCAATCGCTTTTGAAGATTAACATTGAAATCTCGATTGAACCGTTAGTATCACTAAGTAATGTTGTGTATTATAGAATGTTAATTTTTATACTACGGAAACAGCGAAAATACCGCACGAAGATACTGTAATAAATAACGAGAACGAAAATTCGTATCGATCCGGATGCACCGATTTGTCAGCGATCCTCGAACAATGGCGAAAAAGGATAATCGTACGGAACACCAGCAACACAGCGGAGCATAATCCTTTACGGATGTCTAATAATGAATTAGGTTTAGTAAATATCGAAGAGGCACGGTACAAATCGAAGTCAGATCACGAAGTCAGTTATCCTTATCCTTTCACAGATTATATACGTCCTCGCGTTTGCGCCGATTTTTCACCTCTAAGTACTTATAGCAAGCCGCACCATCGACTTGTCAGGAATCTGAAATCGATTACGATTAATTATGAATCGAATTTAAGAAACGATCGCGGCAATTCGAAAAGGTCGAGGAGGATGTCGCATTTGTTTTTCCGCGGCAAACGGAGAAGATCGAATCGAAGCACTTCGGACGACGAAGAGTTCAAGCTGCAGGATCAGTGGAATAAAACGTTATTGTTGCCAAAATTGTTGGAAGCATCACAGGTTGAACGAAATACCAACGAATCTTCTTCGCCTTTTCCGAGTCGAAGTTTAGACGTATATGGAATACTGAGACTAAATTCAGTCTCTCAGAAACCAATTGGGTTTGTTAAAAAGAGAAGAAAAAGGAATATTTTGAATAAAAGAAGCACGGATATTTATCAGAAAGAAATGACCGCATATGTGGATACGTTTAAAATGTTATTTACAACTGATACACCGCAGGTTGAGTCTCAGTTGACGTACAATACTGAGCACCAAAGTGAAATAGATATTTTGCAAACAACGCTGAGTTGGTTAAATCAGGGACTAGCAAGCACAACTGTGTCGCCAGAGGTAATAGGACAAACTGTTACAGAAGAATTTGGCACATTTTATGATCAGCAATATAAAGAAGATTATAAAGAAGCATATGAAGGAGAATATAAAGAAGAGACGACTGAAAAATCTACCGGGTGGTATGAATACGATGAGCATATAGGAACGATTGCAATAACCGCTAAAAAAACCACAAGAACACTTACGACCGAAAGTACTACTGAAATGTTCACATCTACACAAACTTCTGCCTTTACAACACAAGGTACTACGACTATCAAATACTTAACTCCATCTTAAGTTTCCGTTCAGCCGATAATAGAATTAATTACTACAGAATTTGTAATTCCAGCCACAACCAGTACAACTACAGAGTTAAAAACAACAGCAGAAACGACTACAAAAATGACAGAAAGTACGTCAACAGAATTGCCCTTAACTACAACTGAAATAAGTACCACAATAACGGCTCCTCCCGTCATTACAACAACAAAAGGCACAACGGTTAGAATAATAGATACAGTTGCCACTACCACAATTTTGCCAACAAGTACAATAGAACTCACAACGGAGGGAACAACATTAGCTGTTACAACCGTGCGAGAACCGATAAAAACAGAAGTTACAACACCAACTAAAACCGTTCCGATGACTACTACTACATCGATGGTGGTAACAATTACAACTACACCGGTCACAACAACCACACCAATACCCACCACTACAAGCCTGCAGACCATAACAACCACAAAGCCTACCATGACAGAAAGAACTGTAGAAACTACAGTCGTCACCACACCGACACCACTTGCAACAACAATTGAAACAACCACAACAAAAGAACCCATGCCCATCACTACCAGTACAACGATGGAGCCAACTACAACAGCACCAACAACAGTAACTACGGTGCCAGACACAACTAGAACAAGTCTATCCACAACAAGAACGACAGAAACCCCAACGGAGGAGGCAACATCTACAGTAACAACCACACACGCACCAACGACAGTAACTACGGTGCCAGACACCACTACAACGAGTCTGTCAACAACAAGAACAACAGAAACGCCAACGGAGGAGGTAACATCTACAGTAACAACAACTCACGCACCAACAACAGAAACAACTACTGCAACAAGTACCGTTTCCACAATAACTACACTAACGATACCGCCGACAACAACACAAACGATAATAACAACGGAGGTGATGCACACAACAGCAGTGATTCCACGGAGAACAAGCACGACTGAAGCCACGTCAGAAGAGAAGATAGTGGATACATCACTAACCACGTTAATAACAACTGAGAAAATTACTACATTGCAAAAGGTACCTATTTCAACTACAACGACAACGCTGCCGAAAACAAGAACGATGGAAGCAACTACCAGCCCAACAACCGTGTTTGTTACCACCACAACGGCGATGATAACTACACCAACTACAATGCAGGCGACTACAGAAGAAACAACGATCATGACAACAGCACCGGTACCGCTAATAACAACAGACACAAGTACACCGGCACGAACAGCGCCTGCTACAACAACGACAACCACGGTGGAAGGCACTGCAAAGGAAACACCAATTACCACATCAACGCAGACGCAGGTAACGACAACGGCAACAATTAAAACAACTCTAACCGTGCCAGCTACTACAGCAACACCGCTGGTACCAACGACAACTACTGTAGAAGCCACTACCAAAACGATAACAGTTACCACATCATTTCTAGCTCCTTCAACAACAACAGAAACAATTACAACCACACGAACTATACCCGTTACTACTACAATGGAAACCGTACCCACAACAATTACGGAGAAAATCACAACAGAGGAAACCACAATTACTACATCAACGCCGCCGCTACATATTACAACTGAAACAATTACAACAACGTTAACCATGCCCGTCGTTACCACAACGTCCATGGTACCACCGACGACTAGGGTGGAAAAAATAGCAGAGAAAACGACAACTACCACGTTAATGCCTATGCCGGTGTTAACGACGGAAACAATTACGACAGCTCTAACCGTGCCTCTGACTACGACAACTCCAGTAGAGCCTATGACATCTGCGGTGGAAGTCACCACAGAAGAAACGACAGTTACCACAACAACGCCAATGCCGGTGACAAAATCTGAAACAATTACGACATCTCTAACCGTGTCTATAACTATGACAACTCCAGTAGAGTCTACGACATCCACGGTAGAAATCACCACAAAAGAAACGACAGTTACCACATCAACACCAATGCCAGAAACAACAACTGAAACAATTACGGCAGCTCTAACCGTGCCTCTGACTACGACAACTCCATTAGAGCCTACGACAACTACGGCGGAATTCACCACAGAAGAAACGACAGTTACCACATCAACGCCAATGCCAGAAACAACAACTGAAACAATTACGACAGCTCTAACCGTGCCTCTGACTACGACAACTCCAGTAGAGCCTATGACATCTGCGGTGGAAGTCACCACAGAAGAAACGATAGTTACCACAACAACGCCAATGCCGGTGACAAAATATGAAACAATTACGACATCTCTAACTGTGTCTAGGACTACGACAACTACGGCGGAAGTCACCACAGAGGAAACGACAATTACTACATTAACGTCAATGCCGGTGACGAAAACAGAATCAATTACGACAGCTCTAACCGTGCCTCTGACTACCACAACTCCATTAGAGCCTACGACAACTACGGTGGAAGTCACCACAGAAGAAACGACAGTTACCACAACAACACCAATGCCGGTGACAAAATCTGAAACAATTACGACATCTCTAACCGTGTCTATAACTATGACAACTCCGGTAGAGCCATCGGCAACTACGGCGGAAGTCACCACAGAAGAAACAACACTTACCACTTCAACGCCAATGCCAGTAACTACAACTGAAACAATTACGACAGCTCTAACCGTGCCTCTGACTACGACAACTCCAGTAGAGTCTACGACATCTGCGGTGGAAGTCACCACAGAAGAAACGACAGTTACCACAACAACACCAATGCCGGTGACAAAATCTGAAACAATTACGACATCTCTAACCGTGTCTATAACTATGACAACTCCGGTAGAGCCATCGGCAACTACGGCGGAAGTCACCACAGAAGAAACAACACTTACCACTTCAACGCCAATGCCAGTAACTACAACTGAAACAATTACGACAGCTCTAACCGTGCCTCTGACTACGACAACTCCAGTAGAGTCTACGACATCTACGGTGGAAATCACCACAAAAGAAACGACAGTTACCACATCAACACCAATGCCAGAAACAACAACTGAAACAATTACGACAGCTCTAACCGTGCCCCTGACTACGACAACTCCATTAGAGCCTACGACAACTACGGTGGAATTCACCACAGAAGAAACGACAGTTACCACATCAACGCCAATGCCAGAAACAACAACTGAAACTATTACGACAGCTCTAACCGTGCCTCTGACTACGACAACTCCAGTAGAGTCTACGACATCTGCGGTGGAAGTCACCACAGAAGAAACGACAGTTACCACATCAACGCCAATGCCAGAAACAACCACTGAAACAATTACGACAACTCTAACCGTGCCTCTGACTACGACAACTCCGGTTGAGCTAACGACAACTACGGCGGAAGTCACCACAGAAGAAACGACAGTTACCACATCAACGCCAATGCCAGAAACAACAACTGAAACAATTACGACAGCTCTAACCGTGCCTCTGACTACGACAACTCCAGTAGAGTCTACGACATCTGCGGTGGAAATCACCACAGAAGAAACGACAGTTAGCACTTCAACGCCAATGCCAGAAACAACAACTGAAACAATTACTACAGCTCTAACCGTGCCTCTGACTACGACAACTCCAGTAGAGTCTACGATAACTACGGCGGAAGTCACCACAGAAGAAACAACACTTACCACTTCAACGCCAATGCCAATAACCACAACTGAAACAATTACGACAGCTCTAACCGTGCCTCTGACTACGACAACTCCAGTAGAGTCTACGACATCTGCGGTGGAAGTCACCACAGAAGAAACGACAGTTAGCACTTCAACGCCAATGCCAGTAACAACTACAGAAATAGTTACGACCGCTCTAACTGTGCCTCTGACTACGACAACTCCAGTAGAGTCTACGACATCTGCGGTGGAAATCACCACAGAAGAAACGACAGTTACCACAACAACACCAATGCCGGTGACAAAATCTGAAACAATTACGACATCTCTAACCGTGTCTAGGACTACGACAACTACAGTAGAGCCAACGACAACTACGGCGGAAGTCACCACAGAAGAAACGACAGTTACCACAACAACGCCAATGCCGGTGACAAAATATGAAACATTTACGACATCTCTAACCGTGTCTAGGACTACGACAACTACAGTAGAGCCAACGACAACTACGGCGGAAGTCACCACAGAGGAAACGACAATTACTACAATAACGTCAATGCCGGTGACGAAAACAGAATCAATTACGACAGCTCTAACCGTGCCTCTGACTACGACAACTCCATTAGAGCCTACGACAACTACGGTGGAAGTCACCACAGAAGAAACGACAGTTACCACATCAACGCCAATGCCAGAAACAACCACTGAAACAATTACGACCGCTCTAACTGTGCCTCTGACTACGACAACTCCAGTAGAGTCTACGACATCTGCGGTGGAAATCACCACAGAAGAAACGACAGTTACCACATCAACGCCAATGCCAGAAACAACAACTGAAACAATTACGACAGCTCTAACCATGCCTCTGACTACGTCAACTCAAGTAGAGTCTACGACATCTGCGGTGGAAATCACCACAGAAGGAACGACAGTTACCACATCAACGCCAATGCCAGAAACAACAACTGAAACAATTTCGGCAGCTCTAACCGTGCCACTGACTACGACAACTCCAGTAGAGCCGATGACATCTGCCGTGGAAGTCACCACAGAAGAAACGACAGTTATCACAACAACGCCAATGCCGGTAACAAGATCTGAAACAATTACGACATCTCTAACCGTGTCTAGGACTACGACAACTACAGTAGAGCCAGCGACCACTACGGCGGAAGTCACCACAGAGGAAACGACAATTACTATATTAACGTCAATGCCGGTGACGAAAACAGAATCAATTACAAGAGCTCTATCCGTGCCTCTGACTACGACAACTCCAGTAGAGTCTACGACATCTGCGGTGGAAGTCACCACAGAAGAAACGACAGTTAGCACTTCAACGCCAATGCCAGTAACAACTGCAGAAATAGTTACGACCGCTCTAACTGTGCCTATGATTACCGCAATTCCGGTAGAGGCAACAAGAACTACGGTGGGACTCACCACAGAAGAAACGACAGTTACCACTTCAACGCCAATGCCGGTGACAACAACTGAAACAATTACGACAGCTCTAACGGTGTCTATAACTATGACAACTCCGGTAGAGCCAACGACAACTACGGCGGAAGTCACCACAGAAGAAACAACAGTTACTACATCAACGCCAATGCCAGTAACAACAACTGAAGCAATTACGACAGCTCCAACGGTGTCTATGACTATGACAACTCCATTAGAGCAATCGACAACTACGGCGGAAGTCACCACAGAAGAAACGACAATTACTACGTTAACGTCAATGCCGGTGACGACAACAGAATCAATTACGACAGCTCTAACCGTGCCTCTGACTACGACAACTCCATTAGAGCCTACGACAACTACGGTGGAAGTTACCACAGAAGAAACGACAGTTACCACATCAACGCCAATGCCAGAAACAACAACTGAAACAATTACGACAGCTCTAATCGTGCCTCTGACTACGACAACTCCATTAGAGCCTACGACAACTACGGTGGAAGTTACCACAGAAGAAACGACAGTTACCACATCAACGCCAATGCCAGAAACAACAACTGAAACAATTACGACAGCTCTAATCGTGCCTCTGACTACGACAACTCCATTAGAGCCTACGACAACTACGGTGGAAGTCACCACAGAAGAAACAACAGTTACTACATCAACGCCAATGCCAGTAACAACAACTGAAACAATTACGACAGCTCTAACCGTGCCTGTGACTACGACAACTCCATTAGGGTCTACGACAACTACGGTGGAAGTCACCACAGAAGAAACGACAATTACTACATTAACGTCAATGCCGGTAACGACAACAGAATCTATTACGACAGCTCTAACCGTGCCTCTGACTGCGTCAACTCCATTGGAACCTACGACAACTACGGTGGAAGTCACCACAGAAGAAACGACAGTTACGGCATCAACGCCGATGCCAGTGCCGACAACAGAAACGATTACGACATCTCTAACCGTGTCTACGACTACGACAACTAGAGTGGAGCCAACGACAACTACGGCGGAAGTCACCACAGAGGAAACGACAGTTAGCACATTAACGTCAATGCCGGCGACGACAACTGAAACAATTAAGACAGCTTCAACGGTGTCTACAACTATGACAACTCCGGTTGAGATAACGACAACTACGGCGGAAGTCACCACAGAAGAAACAACAGTTACCACTTCAACGCCAATGCCAGTAACCACAACAGAAATAGTTACGACCGCTCTAACTGTGCCTATAATTACCGCAATTCCGGTAGAGACAAGAAGAACTACGGTGGAACTCACCACAGAAGAAACGTCAGTTAGCACTTCAACGCCAATGCCAGTAACAAGAGCTGAAGCAATTACGACAGCTCCAACGGTGTCTATTACTATGACAACTCCATTAGAGCAATCGACAACTACGGCGGAAGTCACCACAGAAGAAACGACAAGTACTACATTAACGTCAATGCCGGTGACGACAACAGAATCAATTACGACAGCTCTAACAGTGCCTCTGACTGCGTCAACTCCATTGAAGCCGACGACAACTACGGAGAAAGTCACCACAGAAGAAACATCACTTATCACATCGACGCCACTGCCGGTGACGACAACTGAAACAATTACGACAGCTCCAACGGTGTCTATGACTATACCAACTCCATTAGAGCCCACGACATCTGCGGTGGTAGTCACCACAGAAGAAACGACAGTTACTACATCAACGCCAATGCCAGTAACAGCAACTGAAGCAATTACGACAGCTCCAACGGTGTCTCTGACTATGACAGCTCCATTAGAGCCAACGACAACTACGGTCGAAGCCACCACCGAAGAAACGACAATTAGCACATTAACGTCAATACCGGTGATGACAACAGAAACAATTACGACAGCTCTAACCGTGCCTACGTCTACGACAACTCCAGTAGAGCCTACGACATCTGCGGTGGTAGTCACCACAGAAGAAACGACAGTTACCACTTCAACGCCAATGCCAGTAACAAGATCTGAAGCAATTACGACAGCTCCAACTGTGTCTATAACTATGGCAACTCCGGTAGAGCCAACGACAACTACGGCGGAGTTCACCACAGAAGAAACGACAATTACCACATTAACGTCAATGCCGGTGACGACAACTGAAACAATTACGACAACTCTAATCGTGCCTACGACTACGACAACTCCAGTAGAGCCGACGACAACTGCGATGGAAACCACCACAGAAGAAACGTCAGTTACCACATTAACGCCGACGGCTCTAACAACAACGGAAAGTATTTCAATATCTCCAACTATACCAGTAACTGCTACAACGGTGATGATACCCACAAGTGGGTGGGAATCCACTATAGAAGAAACAATTACCACATCAATACCAACACCTGTATCAACAACGGAATCTATTACAGCCTCACTAACCTTGCCTCTTACCTCACTAACAACTGCCTCGTCGGTGGTCTCTACAGAGGAAATTGCAAGTGTCACATCAACGACAACATGGTTAACAGCAACTGAAGGAATTACATCAGCTTTAACTTTGCTGGTTACTACCTCATCAACGATTGTACCTATAACTACGGTGAGAGCAACTACAATGGAAACAGCTACCACGGCTAGTGAAACGACAGTGACATCAGCTACAGTAACAATGTCCCCTCTATCGAAGACCACAGAAGTAGTCACCGAAAGAACAATTTTGGCTACCACTATTACACCTACTGTGGGCACTATACACATTTCTATTACGATATCACCATCGGCGACTGAAACAGTAGGACCGACGTTTGCTACAACAGCGATAATTACCACTGAAGGTGCCACTATATCCACTACATCAACATCTGCCTTAACAACGGAAGCATCTGTATTAACAACAACGCCTGAAACAACAATTGCGGAAGAAACTACAACTACTGGTTTTGTACCTATCGTAGGAACGTTAACAACAGAATCGACCATACGTACTACTGAATTTCCAATTGAAATTTCTACAACGCCTTCTCCCAGTACCATGGGAACAACAGTAACTATCAGCGAAGCAATTACAATCACCACTAGAGCCACTCATCTCGAAACAACAACTGGTAAATTTATAATTATACTTATTTCTGTATTTACGTTATTTGAAATTGTTTCCCTTAATTTTATGTACAGTTTCTGGAACCAGGGAATCTACTACCGAGGGCATAATTACATCGACTCCATTTTCTTCAGTGATATACACTGAATCTGAAATTCCTACTGCCAGTATCACAACTGAAAGTTATACTCCTGTCATAGAAACACCATTATACACAACAGAGTTATTAGAATTTACAACAGAAGCACTTACTCCCACTACCGAAATTTATCTTTTGCCGATTACTACAAGTTTTATTCTTCCTTCGTTGCCCACGATGACAGAAGTAATAACATTACTCACTAAAACTGAAATAGTAAGTAGAAAAGGAATTTTAACTTTGCTTATGGTGCATATATCTGACGAAATAAAACTTTTAATATCAAAAGGACATTTAAATGTATACATATTTACTTAATGCAAATATGTAATTTAATGGAAATTATAAAGCTAGCTTATACAACAATTCTAAACTACAATTATAGGTTAGAACAACGAAAACTGTTGAATTAATAACACCATCGAGAACAACATTACCAGTAACGAAACACGTTACTGTAACCGAGACATTTCAGGACTTAGAGTACGAAAAGGAATATAAAGAAGCATACGAGGAAGGAGAGGAAGAAGAACCTACCGAAGAACCGGAATGGCATGCTTACGAAGAAGAAGAGATGATTACTACAAAGCCTGTTGTAGAAAAGACAACAAAGTGGATACGTGCAACAACCACTGTTGCACCGCTAATCACAACGTTTACGACAGCAAGTACAACAGAAACAACATTAACGACTGCAGAACATACTACTGTATCTACAATAGTAACAACAGTTACGACTATGGAATCTCCTACAACTGAAAGTACAACTACAGAGAGTACACGGCTAACTAGTGAAAAAACTACCGTCAAAATTCCATCACCAACCATTGAAAGTACTAGTACCGAAAGTACATCGCCTCTGATTGAAAGTACTACCGTAACAATTTCAGCACCTACCACAGAGAGTACTACATTGAAAGCTTTACCACTTACAACTGAAAGCACCACAATTGAAGTCGTCCCTGTCTCCACAGAAATACCGTCCCTCAATGAAACTACAGAAGCAACTGAAGAAACAACTATATCTGTTACAGAAAAAGTAACATTGCTCACACCTACGACTATAACCACTGAATCAGTGACAGTTAATGTAACAACAGAAACAATGGAAACAACAACGGTGTCTCCAAAGGCAGAAATCACTACATTATTACCTACTACTAAGACTACCACTGTAACTACTAAAACACCGTTTGTTACAACAGAATCCACGACAGAGTCTGTAACTGTAGCCACTGAAACAATAGAAACAACGTCACTTAGAACAGAAGTGACTACGAAATTTCCAGTTACTGAAATCACAAATGCAACTACAGAAACAGAATCCAGAACAGAGTATATTACTGCAACAACAGAAACGCTACCTGTTAACATAACTACTGCAACAACTGAAACAACAATATCTATCGAAACGGAAATCACTTCTCCTCTTACTGAAGTTACAAGTGCAACAGTAAGGAGCCCATCTATCACTACTGAAACGTCGGAAGTGACAACTAAATCAACAACTGAAATACTATCCGTTAATATAACTACTGAAACAACTACATCAATGGAGACGGAAATCACTTCTCCTCGCACTGAAGTTACAAGTGTAACCGTAACGGCACCATCTACCACTACTGAAACGACAGAAGTGACAACTACGTCTACAACTAAAATACTACCCGTTAATATAACTACTGAAACAACAGAAACAACTACACCAATGGAGACTGAAGTCACTTCTACTATTGAAGTTACGAAGACAACAGTGATGACACCATTTATAACTACTGCAAGGACAGAAATAACAACTGAAACCACCAGTATAACAACTGAAATATTATCCGTTAATATAACTACTGAAACAACAGAAACAACTATACCAATGGAGGCTGAAGTCACTTCTACTATTGAAGTTACAAAGACAACAATGAAAACACCATCTATTACTACTGAAACGTCAGAAGTGACAACTGAAACATTACCCATTAATATTACTACTGAAACAACAATGTCTATCGAAACGGAAATCACTTCTCCTCGTACTGAAGTTACAAGTGTAACCGTAACGACCCGACCTACCACAACTGAAACGTCGGAAGTGGCAACTAAATCCACAACTGAAATATTACCCGTTAATATAACCACTGAAACAATCGAAACAACTACACCAATGGAGACAGAAATCACTTCTCCTTCTATTGAAGTTACAAATGTAACAGTAACGACCCCATCTATCTCTATTGAAACTACAGAAGTAACAACTGAAACCACCACTATAACAACTGAAACATTACCTATTAATATAACCACTGAAACAGCCAAGACAACTACATCAATGGAGGTGGAAATCACTTCTCCTACTATTGAAGTTACAAATGTAACAATAACGACCCCATCTATTACTATTGAATCGACAAAAGTAACAACTGAAGCCACCACTGTAACATCTGAAACATTACCTATTAATATAACCACTGAAACAGCCAAGACAACTACATCAATGGCGGTGGAAATCACTTCTCCTACTATTGAAGTTACAAATGTAACAGTAACGACCCCATATATCTCTATTGAATCGACAAAAGTAACAACTGAAGCCACCACTGTAACAACTGAAACATTACCTATTAATATAACCACTGAAACAGCCAAGACAACTACATCAATGGCGGTGGAAATCACTTCTCCTACTATTGAAGTTACAAATGTAACAGTAACGACCCCATATATCTCTATTGAAACGATAGAAGTAACAACTGAAGCCACCATTATAACAACTGGAACATTACTCATTAATATAACTACTGAAACGGCAGAAACAACAATATTTATCGAAACGGAAATCACTTCTCCTTTTACTGGAGTTCCAAATATAACAATAACGATCCCATCTACCACTACTGAAACGTCGGAAGTGACAACTAGAACCACCAGTATAACAACTGAAACATTACCCATTAATATAACTACCGAAACAGCAGAAACAACAATATCTATCGAAAAGGAAATCACTTCTCCTTTTACTGGAGTTCCAAATACAACAATAACGATCCCATCTACCACTACTGAAACGTCAGAAGTGACAACTAAATCCACAACTGAAATATTACCCGTTAATATAACCACTGAAACAACTGAAACAACAATATCTATCGAAACGGAAATCACTTCTCCTCTTACGGAAGTTAAAAATGTAACTATAGAAACCCCGTCCATTATCACTGTAACACCGGAAACCACATCTAAATCTACATCCGTAATAGCAGCAACTGTACCAAGCAACGTAACTGCGGAAAAAACAGAAACCGCTGCTTCTATCGAGATTGAAGTCACTTCACGATTGCCAACAACTGAGATCACAAATATGACTACCGAAACCGTATTTACTACAGAGTCTTTACCAGCAATTACAGAATCGCCGCCGATTAATGTGACTACCGAAGCAATCGAAATAACAACATTGTCTGTTAAGACAGAAACGACCCCATTCACATCTATTACTGAAAGGACAACGGTGAGCATAGAAACTCCGTTTGTTTTCACAGAAACATCAGAATCTACAGTTAAGCTTATAAATATAACTACAGAAGCATTATTAATCAATGTAACTACTGAAACGACAGAATCACTGTCAATAAACGAAACAGAAATAACAAGCACACCTATTGCAACAGTAATAACAACATCCTCTCCGACTGAAAAGCCAACCACCATAATTTCGCTCGTCACATTCAAAAACGAAACTCTAATACCAGAAATAAAATTGCTGACAACCTCAACCATATTTCCTACAACGTTTTGGACAGGCCAATTCACAAGTCCCACCATCTTTGAAACCATGGAATCCGTTTATGTTACACCGCCTAAATTATTACCCGAGATGACGACAACAAAGTTACTCGAAGTACCTACCACAACCATAAAACTGTCTACTGAATTCCCCGAGAAGACTGAAACGATTTATGAGGAGCTCGAAGAGGAGGAAGAGTACGAGGAAGAAGTTCCCACTACTGAAGAACACCCGGCGTTCTATGATTACGAAGAAGAAACAACAACAACAGCTGTAACTAAGAAAACAACGGAGGCAATGTTTACAACTTTATCTGTTAAAATGGAATATCCAATTACTATGGAAAACATAACTATTACCACGGAGAATGCTACTACTGCGCTTATTACTGTAATCAGTGAATCACCTCCTTCAATTTCTCATACTACAACACCAACAACGACCTTACCTCCTATAATTGATAACGTTACTATTTCCCTTAAGGAGATACCAGAATTTACTACAGAAATTACCAATGTAACTACAGAATCGATTGTAATTACAACTGAAACAACTCCGTACACAACATCAATATCAACCGTATCATTTACAACAGAAAGCGCCACTTTTTACACCGAAACAGTGAAAATTACAGAAACAACTCCACTGAATGCTACACCAATAGAAACAGTCAAAACAGAAACAACAGTTCCCTTTATTCCGGTAGTTACAACGGTTGCAACCTTCACTTCCGAAGAAACAGTTACCACAACTGAAGAAATTGCTCTGAGCACCGGAGAAGAAGCCTATGAAACTGAAACAATGTACGACTACGAATACGGGAAGGAGTACAAGGTAGCGTACGAAGAAGAAGAACACGAAGACGAGAGTACAGAAATACTCACTCCAGTGTGGCGCGACTATGAGGCAGAAAATTACACGTCCACGAAACCAGCAGTCGAAACAACGACCAAAGAAGTTATCAAAGTAGAAGTTACAATCGTCAAAGCGGAAGTTAATATTACAACCCCCTTTGTGACTGTTCCCGAAATCGTGTCGACAGTTTCAACCCCGTTGTACACGGAAGAAACAGAAACAACGTCGAAAGTGTCAACGTTAACTCCGAGCAATCTTTCATCTACATTTACAGAAGAAACAACTTGGTCACCGTACGTAAATGTTTCATTTGCCACTGAAGAGGCTACAACGTTCGCCACTACGAAACCGGCGGAAACCGAAGCGACAGAGGGAGAGACAACGTTCGTCTCTGTGGAATCTACCGAAACGGAGGAAGAAGAATTGAATTTTACCACCCTAATATACACTTTACCGCAAAGTACCGAATTCTCCACGGAATACTTGCCGATGGATTACTCGGAAGAGTTGGACACAAACTTCACGAGACCAAGGGAAGTTACTTTGTCCGAGCACTCAACAAAATCGACGGAAAAGACGAGGTTACTCGTCACAATGGCGAACGTCACAGAGTTACCTTTCTCGCCCGAATTAACTACCTTCGAATTAAAGGGCACAACGAATCAAGCACAGAAGAAAATTCGTCACAAAGAGTTAAAAGTGGATCTGCTGGAGAAACTGGAAGAATTAGAGGTTACCGAGAAGAAACTGCTGAAGCAAGAAGAAGATCTTCAGAACGAAATAGAACAATGGCAACACGAGAAGGCGAAACGAATACAGGACATGATCGAACGACACAAGCATGTGACAAGCACTCCTGCAACTACGACTCCCACGAAAATCGAACATCTCACTGATGGATCACCGTTTGTACGCGAAACAACAGCTGCGTTTAAAACAACAGTTTCTTCGGTAGGTCTCGCGGAGACGAAACAGAAAACCACGGTAACTCCTGCAGCAACGACGGAAGATGTGCTCGAGAAACAGATCAGGAAGCTGGAGGGACAGATTTCTGGGAAGGAGAGACAGCTGAAGGAGAAGTCGGATAAATTATTAGAAAAGGAGAAGAAACTTCAGAGAGAAAAAGAGGAGTTTGAAAGAAAATTGAGGGAAATGGAGGAGAAACTGTCGAGAGGAGAGGATTTGGAGGATATTTTGAAGACCACGGGAACACGTTTCCTGGGAACGACACTCACGACGCCATCTTTCTCGCAACTACCACCCACCGAGAGGACTACGATCGACATTCGAGAAACAACGTTAGCTGAAGTTAGCGGAGGAGCCACCGTGAGGAGGATCGTCACACTTCACCGCGAGGAAGAGGAAGAGGAAGAGGAAGAAAAGAAAGGCACTACGAGGATCTGTCTGAACGTTCTCAAGGATAAACCTAAGGGAAAACACGCGGAGGGTTTAGTGACTGAAAAAGTTTGCCTGCCGTTCGTTCCAGGCAGCGCAGCTTCTAAGGACGAGAAAATCAAGATTGACAAGCTGCAGCTTAAAGGGCACGAATGGACGGAGGGCGCATTTACGAAGTATCATGGAGAACCGGAAACGGAGTCCGTTGACAACGAGAACGAGAGGAAGAGGTCGTTGTTTGGACAGGATCGATTTAAACGGAGCGACGGGGAAACTATTGAACCTGAACTTTGTATAGATAACTTCGGTGATGATAAAAGAACAGAGACGCAAATCAAAGAGCCGTTTCCGGTGTGTGGAAATTGTAGTTCTCGATTTACGGATACTTTCGTGAACACCGGAGTGTCGGAAATTAGTGAAAAGTATGATAGAAAGAATGGCGATGTTAAGAGATACAGGATTCGATCTATTCTTGAGATTGGTGAAAATGACGGTGAGGTAATTGTTGGAAAGGATAACGAGGCAAGTGTAGAGGAGTACGATTATGAAGGGGAGGTTGAGAGAAATTTGAGACAAGAAGAGACCACGACGAAGTGGTTAACGGAAAGTACAGTTGATACAAACGAAGAAGTTAATTTTGGAAGAGAAAGTGAGTCGAGCGAAAATGATTCGTTAAAGGACATTAGGTCTGGTGATAGTGAAACTGAATCAGTTGCGGAGGATGAAGTCTACCATACCACGGACAGCTTGGTGGGCGAAATTGAGAGTGATGAAGGTGAAGAAGAGGCAAGTTTAAGTGAAGATGGCGAAGACGTTAATGACAATGAAAATATTCGGGGTAAGACGTAATATTCTAACTGATTAATTTTTTTATTTATTCTGTATGATTTGATTTTATTTTATGTAGTAATTATTGTGTTTCGGAGTGGTAAAGGATGTATTAAAGTAAGAATAGTGTCTTGAGACTTTTGCAACAGTGATTTGTGTAATTGAAAGTTTACGTCACTAAATAATTACTAGTGAAATACCTTCGTGCAATATTTTGTTACATTTTTTTCCCATTTCTATATTCTAGAATAGTAATAAAATGAAAGTAAACCTTGTGTAAAATAAAATAAAATCGAACCCGGCTATATAACGTTCGTTGAAGTTGTTTCTTTTGAAGTAAACAATTTTTCGTTTCACAGTTCAATCGTTTCAGTCTCTCTTTGAGCCGGTTCACACTCAATTGACCTTTGTGAAATATAAAATTTTATTCAATTGTAACATAAAACTAAAGTCACACACGTAGGTTTATAGGACTATAAATATATCGCCTTGAAAGCAACTAAATTCGTGTGTTTAGTGTTAAATAACTGTTAAATTTATTTAGAACTGAGCACTGAAAACTTGATTGCCTTCAACCCTTAGATTATTCTGTCGTTAGCGGACCGATCGAAATTTCTTAATATTTCACTATACCGTGTAAGGAGACCTTTAAGATGATCTATATTAAGATTTATACCTATTAATATATTTTTGGCAGGAGGTTTAAATCATGTGTCTCCTTATACAATAGGTTAAATTACATTATGTACACAATTTTTCCAAAAATATGCTAACACAAATATTTAAAAAATATAAATACAGTAGGACCCCGTATAACGCGATCAAAAAATTTCTACTGTCCCCGTATAACGCTAACAAAACAGAGAAAAAGAAGAACATACAAATTCCCAATTTCTAATTTCGTAATTTTGGGTTAATTAAATTTGACCTAAAAAGGGACGTCTCTGGAACTTCATTTATTCTATATTTCCAGCATTACAAGGGTCCTACCGTGCTGCATCGTTTTAAAATTAAATAAACGAAATAGTACCGATACAAATATCCCAAAAAATTATTCTTCAAAAATATTCCACAAAAGAGTAATTTTTCTTCCTTCTTCTGCCGCTTTCTTAAAACTTTCTTCTAAGATCCCCTACTCCGCATTGACAAACGAGATAAACTCTATAACAAATGTCAAACTACAAAATTAACACGTACCTGCGTACTTATTATTTTGTTCCAACACGAGCTGCGTTTCAATTGCAGAGAAAACTAGACAGACACCTGGCCCGGAATGGCCGACAGAAGCTTTAACCGCGTACCGTGTGGGTGGTACTAAAACTTGGATGTTGGAGTATCCGGTACGAGGAGGTCCAGAAGAGTCAGAGAGCGTCGAAGACGAGGAGAATTTTCAGATGGAGAACGGAGCTGTCGAAAAACGTCCACTAGGGCCGACTACTTGCTACTATGTTATCGTTAACAGTGAAGAAGACAGTCGAAAGCCCTGAGGATCGTTTCACCGTGCGAGAATGGGCTTCGAATCATCCTTTGGAGGAATATATTTCGTAAACGAGCGAACAAACATCTCACCTATAGACCAATTCAAACACGCGCAAGATAAAGATACATAAATTTCGCTATAAAAATTCTACTGCCACGGAAGCAGGTGACATTTTTTTTTTTTACTAGTTTTTTCGATGACACGCATGTAAGATTTATCAAGACACTAGAGAAAAGAAAAATGGAAGCTATAAGAGAACGAATCAGTGAAATAGCAGTGAGACGTGACAATTAGTGTTAAAATGTTGTGTAAAGATTGTACATATGTATATAAGTGTAAACATTAATAAATTCGATTAGAACATTCATATTAATTCTGCTAGCTGTTTAATCCGTAAATTACACTATTCTTGGTGTTATCGCTGCTCTCTAATCTACTTGGAGAATTCTTTCGCTACGTCTACCGCAGCCTCTTTAACCGGAAATCCAAAGTGGTCGCTTAAGCTCTTACTCGGATTGATAGCGGAGTTTATCTTGCTTCAAAGTGGTTTACTTTTTAATTCTGCCTGTTCTTCTATCGTCAAACGCACGGAAAAAGATGCGGTTAAATAATACACATGCAGAAAGATGCTAACACGAATGTAACTTTGTTCTACAAATGTATTTTCATGGAGAAAATCCTTGCAATATATCAAGTTTACCGAAAGAAAATTAGGCTTATCTACATATGCATTAAAATTTCTGACTTCCGTTCACTTTGTACAACTGGAACTTCGAAAAAAGCGATCGTTCAACACGTATAATAGCGAAATGATCAGATTCCAAATGACAATTCGCAGCATCTTCAAATGAAAATTAATTAGAGCTTCTGCGATACATTCGCAAGTCTATCGAACATGGTCGAAATTATTTCTAAATCAAAATCTTCAATTTCAATGGAATTATTTTTTTTTTTCAAAATGAACGTCTTATATACGACTAACACAACTATTCCATAAAACGTCCAATAATTTGGTATCAACGAGAACATGTCGGATGTGCTAATCAATTTTGCTGTTTCTAACGTCAAGAATCAATTGTACCGTCGAAAACGATACGAAGATATTTTTCCGAAACTCTGCAACTTTCATCTCCGAGCAGTTTCACAATTTATGTTTTTTTATCTGGTATATAAAAATTCCTGGCGTTTGAACGGTGAGTCGTCGCTTCTGGAAGTGGATTCCAATATCAGGAATCAAGACAATGGAGCGGATGTTGACGATAGCGGCACGCTTGTCGACGTCGGCCTCGAAAAACTCAGGATCAGTCATCGAAAAGTCGTCCAGGCTACTAGTATCATTCTCGACACTCCGCCGACAGGGAAAACATCTCGTTCAAGTCGAGGAAAAGCTGAAAAGTGGTCGAAGTAAGGGAAAAAGTGAAGTTCAACTTCGTCTTTTCGTCGAAGAAATTGTAACGATAAAATAGAAGCTACTGGTTCTCTCAGTGCGAGATGAAAGAACGAGAGAGTGTAGTTTTTGCAATTATTGTTGCAGTTTTTCCGCTGTTGGTAAGTTACACGAAGAGATTTTGTAATTAAGCGACTTTTGAAAGGGAGAGAGGATGAAAAGTTTTATTCGCGTTGTACTTGTATATGAAGTTATCGTAGGAATTTTGTCAGAGTTTTAGACGTGATAATGACAATCTGGTTAGGTTAGTAATATCTGAGCCACTCGAAATGACTAACTCTGTAAAATAGAGTTTATTAAATTTCTTTTCTTTGTGAAAAATTAAGCACCAAGCTGTGTGCTTTGATACTAAGATTGGAAAAATATGAAAAAGTGGAGTTAATCATTTCGGCTCATTTTTTGGTATGTTCGGTTTTTTATTTTTTGCACTGTGAAAGTGATTCGTGCTTCAGGAAGATAATTCGTGTAACGGTTGATCGAAGCTCGTTTATATGATAGTTTTAATTACAAGGTCGATGTTTCGGACAATTCGCCGACAAAGCAAATTACTTCTAAAACTTAAACTATTAGAGCAACTGTCTTTGGAGTAAATTGATCGCAGGTCACCGGCTTGTCAGAAGCCTCAAAGAGAGAGTAAGCCTTTGATTACAGAGGAGCTTGACCTCCTGAATATCGACAAGATTAGATAGCGTTTCAATTAAAAATAATTATTTTACTCTCGCTTCCTTCCTTTGTGTCGGATGTGGTCAAGATCTTCCACGTTAGAAAAAAAAAATTTCGCGGATGCGAACGAAATTCGTTGAGTAAAAAACAAGAAAACGCGTCACTTTTTTCAGATTTTCAACAACGTCCACGGCAATTCTCGACAATGGTACGAGCGACCACGTCGGAGTTACCCTGGTTATGGAAATTTTGAGAATCAGACTATGACGTATCGTAGTGGCGACTTCAACTCTAACACTCGTTTAATAACAACTTGGAAGTGGCCGTTTAAGCAGCAGAACACGATAAAAGTAACGCGGCAGCCTTTGGGCTTTGCGAATGATGACGGTTTGTTCCGTAATTTTTCTGTTTTCAATTACACCCGCTCCTCGATTTACGCGATTTTTTGTATAAATTATCCCTCCGTTTGCGCGGTGCTTCTAACGCGCCTGTATCAATTTACGCGGTCAGAAAACGAGCCTTAAAATTTCAACGAGATTTCATTGCAAACGAATATTAAGAATATTTATCTTTGTTGCAACGAATATTAGGAAATTTATGAAAAATTAGCGAAAGATAAGATTGAGGAGAAATCGTGCAAAAATGAATTACAAACGACTTTACATAGTGACTTTGAGCCAATTGAAAAGAAAATGACGATTGTTTTGAATTTTAAAACAGATAGTGACACTGAATAAAATTTGTTTGGGTCCACTAAATTATCATTTTTTTTTGTTTTATGTGAAATTAATATTTCTACAACTTATACCAGCTTTTCTTTCTAGTATTTTTTTTTTCGGCTGACAGACTCTATTTACGTGATTTTATTCCGCGTAAAAGGAAACCGCATTCAGCGTATATCGAGGAGCAGGTGTATAAAAATGCATCGTACGCTTAATTATTTTCTTTCCTTTCCTTGTTTTATTGCCACTCAGATGATAAGATGCTGCCGAATGACAAATTTATATTTCCGGATGCGACCGTCATCAAACCGTCACCATCGTTACAAACGAGGATTGGTGCAGCGCCTTCCTGCAATGGGAAAACCTTCTGCGAGCAGGTTTCGGATTATCCTTCGAGTTTTGTCCGTGATGCTATTAAGAATGATCGTAGTCTTCAAAATTACGCAAACGTCGACTCGGTTGGTATTCTTGTCTGTAAGATCTTGGGAAAAAATATTTCACATTTAAATTTAAATTTCATTTTAGTATCCTTCAATTTTTCTCTTTATTTACCTTTGATTTTTCTTTCGTTTCGGTATTTTTGCTTTTCGACTCGAATTTCCTTATCTTTTCTGTTATGCTCAGTTTAAATCTGTATATTATACTTAATTTCAACGCACCTTCGATTTTTCTTTAATTTCCGTAATTCTACATTTCGATTCGAATTTCCTTACCTTTTCTATCATATTTAATTTCAACAACTTCGTGGCAAATTTCCTACGTTTTTCAACTATAACAGTAAATAAGTATCTGTATTACAAAAATATTGTCTGTGAGAAAAGGCTGTACTCTACTTTGTTCCTTGTATATTTTTCCTGTTTAGCTGGACTTTACCTTCAGAATAAACACCGCTTCCACAGAGTCACTCTGCGTAGCCACTGTGAGTACACGTATAATTTTCCTACTTACGTTATTCCTTAACTGTGTCTGTAGAGTGTTAAAGAATACGACTAACGGTATCGTTCCATACACGTTTGAAATCATTCTAGGAACAAATTGTCTATCCGAAAACAGCGCAAAATGCGAATAAACAGTGGCTGTACGTTCTTAACGTCGCGAACTTTACACAGGGAGTACGCATCGAAACTTGCATGTGGGTATTTCGTTGTCAGCGGAGAACGTCTAAAAGTGGTGCTTCACTAACCCTTTCCGGTCCGTTTGTTTCGCGCAATAAAATACAAGCGGTTTAAAGTTCTTTCACGTTACAGATATACTTCTGTACAAAGTGAAGTATTTTTTGTAGGAAAAATAGCGAGAAAATCCAGTTCGTAAAATATTCTCCTGCATTGTGCGTTATAATTGTTCTTTTTATCAACACTTACAGGAGACTTTTTATCGAAAATTAATTCCTTACCGTGATCAGAATAATTTTTGAAAATTAAACGAACTACAAAGGGTTGAAACGTCATTTTTAAAGGTGTCTCTAATTTTTTAATTATTTGAAAATTAATTTCTCATTCTGATCGGAGTAATTTTTGAAAATTAAACGTACTGCAAAGGGTTGAAACGTCATCTTTATCTAATTATTTGGGCGCTGATCTTGTAGGCAAGAGGATCAAGGCTGTAACATAATCGGTGGATTCGCTGAAGGTTACGTTACTACTTGCAAACAAAAATACATTCATCGTCAATTGGCAGCGATTGTCGATGGTGCGGTTAGCCATGAGCTCTTCCGGTTTCCAGCCAGTTGCTGCTGTCATGTACAATTCGTCGGCACCTCGACACGGATGAGGATCGGTAAAACAAGCAACGCTCAAGACAAACCGGATGACATAAACGCAAATTAATTTCTTATCGTTTTTTTGTTTTTACTGAGAAATAGAATACTTGGCAGACAATGATTTAAATTCATTTCTTTTTTCCTTCCTTCTGTGACGATACTGTCAAATTTAGCCCTTCGATGATAATGATAATTCATGATAATCGAATTTTATCGTTAATTACGAGTAAATGTACAAGTACTATAATTACTCTGTAAATTCTATACTAAGGAAAATATTGTGTGCTTAATATTTCTCGAATAACGACGAAGGTTTTGTTCAATTTTAGTCTCAACGCAAAACTTTTATGTCTTCAACGAGTTTTATGAAAATGAAATTTTAATAGAAATTCCGTAAGATATTGAACGATACAAGCTGCATATCTCTGTGTTTAAGTGAGTGTTCTCTTGTATTTTTCTGCGGCTGAAAGAAGAATCGCTGAGTATGAAAATAAAGTTTATCGTCAGTTGACGGTTTTCTGGTTGGAGGAGCGAGAATTTGTATACATTCAGAAATCGTTACGTATTATCAGTACTTATTTGCATCTCTTACTAGTGCAAACATAAGACGCGGAGATAGCGCGAATGTAGGCATACTTGAGGAATATTAATTGTATTTTCTCGAAACCTGAACTTTTTACAAAAAAATGTTATTCCATATTTTCGGTTTATTTGTTCATGCAGAATCATTCTCTTTCTTTCTGAAGGAAAAATACAAATGCAATAAAATACCAACACGGTGATAAAATAGAGCAGCAGAGTAATATATAAATAAAACAATAGAAGGTAGATCACATTTTACAAAGTTTCTTCTTCTTTCCGTGACGATAAACATTTTTTTCTATTTTCTATTTTTCTCAAAATAAACAAGTTATACATACACTTTATCCTACCAATTCTAGACTTAATCGCATTTTATATGTCTCATTCATTTCTCATTCATATTTTGTCAATTTCGTTTCTCATATTTAGAAACAATAAATGCATCGAAGCAGAACACGCGTCTTTAATTAACGAAGTGATAAAACGACACCGGCGATATTGAACGAAAAATAGCACAGAATGTTTTGAAATTCTGGATAAATGTCATTCCAGCTAAATCTTAATAGCACAAGCGTACTTTGTTATTACACATCCCTTTGCTCCCATACAGAAACAAGGAAACGAAGAGAACATTCGATCTTCAAATTATCATCGATCGAAAGTAACGAGGAGAACACGAAATCGAGAACAATACTGTCTTGATTATAGCAGAAATGTTTAAACATGTTGCATAAACACAGCAATCGACGAAACCGATAAAATTACATGATTAAAGAAACACCTTGATACGAGTACTTATCTCAATATTGTCAACTGGTGTACACATCGTGCAATAACAAAACCGGCTATTATAAAAATATCCACGGTTTCATTCTCGACGAGGTATAAAAGGAGCCGCTTCGTTAGCGTAAAGCATCAGTTGAAGGAAAAATTGTCGGACATGAAAACCGCGTTGTTGTTGGCGACAGTGTATCTAGCTTTGCTAGCAGTGGCTGCAGACTTGAAGGAAGACACTTTGTTAAACTGGAAGCGAAGCGGGAATGACGATAAGAAGTCGCACGAGAGTGACGAAAAAGGTAGCGACGATAAATCTGAGAAGAGTCTCGAATGGTGGAATAAGAAGGGAGATAGCAAAGAGGAGAGTGTTTCTTTAATCGATGGATCACCTGAGAAAGGAGGTGTAATCGATTTGAAAGATGGAAAAGAGAAGGACAAATGTGTTTGGGTCTTGAAGGATGACAAAGGTCCTATTCCTCCAATTGATAAATTACCTGTAGACGTAGATATTCAAGATATTCTTGATTGGAAGAATGACAAAAAAGAGGTAAAGCTGAAACCTATCAAGGTGGAAATTTCAATAATTAACAAATTATGCAAGAAGGACGAAAAGATTGATGGTGTATGGGATTTAAAGAAAGGAGAGATTATTTTACTACCTAAGAAGGGCAAAGACAGTCACGAAGATCTGGCTTGCAAGAATGATCTGAAATATATAGACTGGCAACTTATCAAGATGAAAATTCCCAAAATTGACAAATTAACGAAGAAGGATGAAGAGGTCGGTGGTGTATGGGATTTAAAGAAAGAAGTTATCTTATTACCTAAGAAAGGCACAGACGTTCGTGATATTCTTGATTGGGAGAGCGACAAAAAATGTATAAACTGGCTTCCTATCAAGGTGATAATTCCAAAAATTGACTTTTTGACTGATTTAAAGAATGGAAAAGTTAGTAAAGAAATTTTAAGCGATGAATTAAAATTGCATAATGTTCAACGAAGAGACACTCGTCAGATTTGGGATTTAAAATACGGAAAGGGGCACGAGGGTATCGGTGAAGGAGTTTGGAAGCATGGTAAAGGAAATCCCGGTGACGTGGAGCATAAGAAGAAGGATAAAGAGATACGTAAGCTTCGGGAATGGCAGAAAAAGCAGGAGAAGAAAATTTGGGAAGACCATTGGAAATCAAAGGATTGGAAGAAGGGAAAGGATTTGCGTAACCCTTGGTACGTGAAGGAAAAAAGGAGGAAACCCTGGAACGCCGATTGGATCTGAAATACTAAATAAAAAGAAGAAATCGGGAAAGTGATGGGAATAATATTAAGACGTAAAAAATAATAAACTTTTATTAAGTAACTTTTCATTTATATAATACAATGTATATGTATTCAGTTAACAGAATGTATTTGATCGATAAGTATTTGTTTCTTCTCTTCAATTCTGTTCATCTTGCATGTTCTATCCGTGAGCTTAATCTTTCTACATTTGTGAAAATCTTCAATGTAATGCAAAGAATTAGGATGCAACAATGCCGCATATATTTGAATAAAACAGTATCCCTGTAGCCCCATAATTCTCTACAACACTGTGCTCATTCGAGAGAAACAATCTTGGCGGGAGTAATCGCGCCGCGTTAAATATTCACAGGAGCGTAAAGAGATGTCGGTTACGGAGTCAAGATTTAGCCGTTGCAGAACGACAGGAAACTGGAGGATCATAGTTCTATTAATTTTCCGAAAATGTAAGTTTGACAGATATCTGTGCAATTTGTTTGGAGCTATTGCTAATTTTAATCACCGTACTCAAAATTAACAGTAGAATCTTAAGATTACATGGATCCTTAGATCTTTTACACGTTGAACGACATAGATCGTTAAATTTCTACACATTGATCAATATAGATCATTAGCTCTTTACACATTGATCAATATAGATCACGAGATCTCTACACATTGAACAATATAGATCATTAGATCTTTACACATTGATCAATATAGATCATTAGATCTTTATACATCGATCAATATAGATCATTAAATCCTTATACATTGACCAATATAGATCATTAGATCTTTACACATTGATCAATATAGATCATTAAATCTTTACATATTGATCAATATAGATCATTAGATCTTTACACGTCGATCAATATAGATCATTAGATCCTTATACATTGATCAATATAGATCATTAAATCTTTACATATTGATCAATATAGATCATTAGATCTTTACACGTCGATCAATATAGATCATTAGATCGTTATACATTGATCAATATAGATCATTAGATCTTTACACGTCGATCAATATAGCTCATTAGATCGTTATACATTGATCAATATAGATCATTAGCTCTTTACACACTGATCAATATAGATCATTAGATCGTTACGACATTAAGATCTTTTTCTTTCCTTCTATAAAACCTACGTATTTGAATTATAGTAAAATATATATCAGGATTTTTACGCACTACGTTAGATTAAATCGACTTGACATATTTATCGCTCGAATCAAATGCTGCTAATGTACATTCCTCTCCGACTGCGTGCAGTTCATGAAGATATATCTTTATAGAGATATATAGTTTGGGGGATACGCTCTTGTATAAAGATACATGATTTCCGAGATATATTCTACGATAGCTGGGTGTACCTTATATTGCACGTCAACCGAAATGATTATGGCACAAGAGAAAGTTCAGATTATGGCTAGTATCAGTTGCTAGAAAAACAAATAAAAAAGGAATGTTCAATGCACACGATGGCACACCTTCGACAGGTACTCGTAGCACACGACGATATAAAAAGCAATATAGAGATTTTGTTTGTTTTTATTTACCAACAATGGTCTAGAAGTCAAATATCCCGGTGAAATTGGATCGACTCTTTCGTCAGCGTGAACCTTGGCAAACGAATTCGGCAAATTCAATTTGCACGCGAATCCACTGTTATTTCTCATCGACGACGAGGAAAACGTGAATCGTCGGGTATCGCGGTAAGTTAATGGAAATCACGGGGAATTTCGAAATTATCATATAAATGCGAACGCCAAGGCGAAAATACATGGTGTACATATAAACGAGCGGTGATTTTATGCGGTGGTAAACAGAGATTAGGTGTGAACACACGTAGCCGCCCGTTCCGTTCAATTTTAAGATAAAACGTCGATTAGAGATTTGACAAAATTTGTATTCTTGTTAAGCGATACTGTTTGTTCAATTGCAATGGAAAAATTGTTGGAAAACTTTCCTTGGAGCAAATAAGGTGAGACATTAATTCGTGCAAAATTTCAATGCGTCAACAAGGAAAGTTGATTAATAAAATTCCGAATAAATTGCTAAAAATTTGGTAATACCTGTTGAAAAAATAATTGTTATAAGAATTTCTTATTATCGAACCAGTGTGTGGAAGAATGAAAATTAGAAAATACAAAGAATACATGTTAAAATTTGTTAATTTGAAATTTCAGAGGTTCTATCGCTATAATTAAATAAATATTCAAAATATTCACACCCGAGCTAAATTTTCCGATAATAAATACCAATCACTTTGAATTCAATCGAAATCTCTATCGCACGTTATAATATTCACGTATCTATCACGCTCTACGTGCAAATTATTATTTTATAAGTAGAGGAACACAATGGAAAATAGATGCAATATTGTGCGGCGAAAATGAGGTCGCGATGATAACAACACGGAAAGTTGGATAAACAATTTCACCCTTAAAATTCATCACGG